TCTGTTCAGGCCCAAACTAAGGGGCCACCCCTGCTGCCCATGGTCTTCGGCGTCCCCGGGGTCTAAGGTGGTGGCTAAGGCCCTGACTTTGCCCCCCCCCCCCACTTCCCTCCCGCTGACCAGCATGGGCTGTTATCCCCCCTCACCTCGCCCCTTGGCCCTCAGGTTTTGAAAATACCCATCTCCGCTCCCTCCCACTTTGAGAGTCACCCACCCTGACCCCCAGCCCAGCCTTAAACCAAGAGGATGCCTTACCTCTGAGTGTGGGCGCCTTTCTCTAAGCAGGTCCAGAAAACACAAAGGTGTGTAAGGCAGACACGTTCCCCAGTGGCCCCAGCAGATTTGCGGTGCGCTGCCACCCTGGGACACCCCCACCACCGGCCCAGGAGACCCTCTGGCACCCAGTTCCAGCTCCCAGGAGGCGGCCAAAGCGCGTGTCTCTCAGGCCTTTGCAGGCTGAGGTGCTACAGACTCGCAGGGCCCTTCTCTGGGAAGCAGCCTCTGCTACTCCTGCCCCTGCCCTCCATCCCAACGCGGGGCCCTGGCTTTTCAGGAGGGGGCTGTGGTGCCTCCTGGCCCCTGACAGTCGTAATTCTTATTTGTGGCTGTCCCATCCTGTCTCATGGACATTTTGTTTACTCATTCGTTTCTTCAACAATATGTAATGAGCCTCTACTAGGAGCCAAGGTCTCTGCTACGGTGGAAATTCCGTTCTAAAGCGGGAGGCAGCTGGGCAAGCGATCCGAGGAGACAGCCACTGCTTTTAATTGAATGGAAGGCATCGTGGGATATGAGAGAGAGAATAACAGGGCACCCATTCCGACGGCCTCTCAAAGGCGGCAGCCTTCAGGGGGACCCGAGGCTGCGCAGTTGGGGGAGGGGCTTCCAGGCAGGGCCACCGCAGCGAAGCGTCAGCGCCGCCAGCCATCTCTGAGGCGCCTGACACGCACGCTCACAGCTGCGTTTGCTGTAGAAACCCACGCGCTGTCCCTTCCCTGTCCGGGTCTCCCTGGGTCAGCGAGGGGCCCCTCCTCCCGCCGACTGTGCACACGGGAAACCCGAGATCAACCTGGGCACCCCTTCTGCCGCCCCCATCGCCAAGTCCAGTGGTTTGCCCCTGGAAGCTTCTGGAGTCACTTCACCGCCATCCTGTTCTAGCTGCCACCTTCTCTCCAGAGTCTGGAGGCAGCCCGCACCCCAACCTGCCTTCTGGGGTCACTGGTGGTTTCTTCCAACCCAGCCTTCGTGTTCCACTAGGATCTTCAAAAAATGCACATTTGCTCCTGACACTCCTTTGCTTAAACTCAACACTTTGTCCTTGGAATGAAACGTAACATCCGTACAGTGCCCTGCATGGGTGACCCCCGCCCTCCCTCCTGAGGTTGTTGCCACGGGAACCTTGCGATTGTGTTTAGCTGGCCCCGGGGCCTTGGCATGTGCATCTGCTGCCTCTTCAAGTGGAACCCCTCTTCCTGCCTGCACGTTGCCATCTCCAGCTTTCTGACTCCTCAGGAGCGGAGCGCGTGTCCCGTTACCTCACAGCCCTCTTAGGTGCGATCATGTAACAGCTTCGGTGCACCCCTAAGGCCGCTCGGACCCTGTCTGCGGAGGGGCATCTCTGTTGCCCACCGTCGTGGCCTGTGCCTAGCGCAGCCTGGGATGCACGGGGTCACCGATCTAGCTGGTGGTGAAGGGAAAGTGCCGTGGAAACCCTGGCTTTCTCCTGCCCTTCACTGTGACCCTGCTTGCTCGCCTCAGTGAGCAGGGGCTGGGCACGCAGACTCAGGCCAGTCAGAGGGCAGCGTACCCCCAAAGGGCCTCAAAGCCGAGCCGGCTGCGGTCAGCTCTTTGGGGGCTGAGGACCGCTTTCCCCACTTGGCGGCAAAACACTCCGAGGAACTACTGCAAAGAGCACTTTGCAGGGAAGCCACTCCAGATCCCCAGCCGCCCCGATGAGGGCTCCTCCCTCTGATCGCCCCGCAGAGGGCCAGGACCCACCTGGGTGCCACCTCAGGTTGCGAGCAGGCGCCCAGGCGTCACAGGGCTGGCTGGCGGGGGGTGGGATGTCAGCCGTGGTCGTCCAACTCTTTTTTTGATCAGTAGACCTTTTTCTGACCTACAGCCTGGGTGACAACCATCTCTTTACAAATGGACTGGAACCTGAATCTCTGGCCACCCCCCCTCCACCCCCGACATAAGCTGTCTGGTAACCAGGGCCAGGTGTCCCGAGCAAAAGCCAGCAGATTTTTTTGGGGGGGTGGGAAACCAACAAAAAGAAACTCACACACAAACTAGATAATTTTCTGTACCTTCCTAGAGTGCAACCAGACAGCACATAGAAAAAGCTTCATACTCTTGATAAACTTTTGATAGAAAGATTCAACTCAAGAATTACCCTAAGAAAAGCCTCAAATACAGCAGACACAGATACCTAAGAGCCGTTCCTGCCGCCCCAACTGTAGAAGCAGGGAGGGCCAAAAGGCCTTCCAGCTGCTCAGCAGTAAGCAAAGGTGGCCTTTAAGAGGGATGAGGAAGAGAATTTAGGGACCTGGGAATAGGCTTATGATCGTGACAAAAATGTGTCCGTAGAAAGATCCTTTTTGAAAAAACCCCCAAAACATGTAGCAACACACATAGGAGAGTAGACACCGTTTTAGGTTAGTTGTAGGACCACTTGTAAGATAATATAGACAATCCTGAGGGGGGAAACAAACCCCCGCAGAAACTGCACCTGGTCTGCCCAGCCCCCTCCCCCCTTAGGTTCCCTTGTCACAATGCAGGGCCAGGTGGTAACCCTGGGCAAGAGGGCGGGTGTGCAACGTTGGTGGGAGCGTTTCTTCCTCAGCTCACACTTCACAGTCACTGGAAGAGAAGGCTTCCAAGCGGGCTTCCTGTGGTCCCCAGATGTCATGGCCTCAGGGGGCCAGCCTCCAGGGGAGGTGCACGGCTGGCCCTGCCCCTGCCAAGCTACCCTCCCCATGGCCCTGGGCCAGAACCAGCTGCTCACATTTGTTGAGGCTCCTGCACCATGTGGTGGCAAACTGTCCCCCTGCAGACCCGGGGGGCAGCCCTGTTCCTCCCGAGTTGAGCGAGCCCACCACCACGCAGACGCGCACTCATGAGGTGGCCGCAGCGCAGAACTTGTGCTCGGGACACTGAGGCCTGCCCCTCACCCCGACCCGGGCTCCTGGCTCGGCGCGGGGCCTGCACGGCGTCCCAAGGGCTTTCTCAGCACCCGCCCGGCCCTGGCCTGCGCAGGGCCAGCTGGCTGCAGGCCTGGCCCTGCGGTGCTGGGGGGCTGCCCAGATGGGGGGGCCGGTGCTGAGCCTGCTGCAGGGAGGACCGGTGGGCCACACCGAGCAGGCTCCGGAGAAAACAAGGTCTCTGAGCGCAGGCGACCCCACACTATGGCCCAGGTACCCCGCCCCCAGCCCCTAACAGAACAAATGGAGTGAAATCACTTCCATCTCCGCTGGGGCTCCCCCCGCCCGGCTGGGGTCCTCCTCAGGAGGCCCAGCTGCAGAGCAGATAAAGACAAGACAGACTGAAATGTAGTTCAAAGGTTGCTATCTTTTTTGGTTTCCTTTTTTGCTTTTGTAAAGAAAAATAAGGTGGTGTTTTTTGTTTAAGTTAAGCCCTCCCTGCCCAGCCTCTCCCCCGCTCTGCAAGGCAGGGGACCCAGGTTCTGCACAGGAGGGGTTGGGCCTTTGTGTGGGGGATGTGGGTGCTTTGTGCTGGGCTTCCTCAGAGCCAGAGAGGAAGTGTGTTCAGGAATGGAGTTTGGCTTTATTACGCAAAAAATGAAGTTAAAAAGTCGACACACATGCCCGCTGTACAAACGGGAGCCAAGAGATACCATCTCTCAGTCGGAACCGTTTAGGGCAGTTGGACTCAGGTCCTGGTGTGGTCCCTGGTCCCCAGGTTCTGGGCTGGGGCACAGGGCAGAGGACAGTAGCTCTCAGGACGAGTCAGGGGGAAGAGAGACAGGGAAGTTGGAACAATCTCCTTCCCCACATGGTAAAAAAAATTATTAAAAAAGCACCCAAAGCTTAAAAAAATTAAACCTCCCTGGCAGGGAGAATTGGGGGCATCCGCTCGTCAGCAGAATGCCTTACCTAGCAGAGACGTGTAGAAAAATAAAACGAAACTTTATCCCTGAATGACAGTGAAGACCCTCCTGCCCGCATGACCCACCCCCCAAGTCTCCGGATTCACCCAGGCAGCCGATCCCCCCCTCAGGTGGCACAGACAAGGTGTCGTCACACACGCACGCACACGCGCGCTGCCCACACCAGTGTCGGAGCCCCGGGCAGCAGGGATGGGCCTGACACCCACAGGCACACAGTCTCTTGCCCCTCACAGCATCGCGAGGGTGCCTGTGCTGGACCAAGCTCCTGCTCCCTCCTCCGGGGCAGTGGGACCCCAGCACCAGGGTGAGGGCGGGGCACACCTGCCACCGTGACTGAGGGGCAGTGGCGGGGCTGAGGGCAGCAGGGAAGGAGAACCGGCCACGGTGGCCAGAAGACAAGAGGTCACACTCAGGCCACGGTGACAGCATCACAAAGGGGAAGAGGGGCTTCTGCGGCTCAAAGGAGCCAGGTTCATGGCGGGTGGGGCACAGCCTCCTCTGTGGCTGGCGGGCTGCTCCGGGCAGTCCCAGGGCCCAATCGGGCTGCGGGTCAGGCAAGGCCCCTGTGGCAGCACATCAGGGCGGCCCCAGGGGGGTTTCTCAGGGTGACGAGGCTGCTGCCTGGGAAGGTCACCAGAGGTAACAGAACAGGGGTGCACTTGGGCAGAAGGGAGTCAGGGGGTGAGGTGCTTATGCTAGTCCCCAGGGCCCCGCCTGCCCATCAGGAGGGCTGGGGGCAGGCCTGGCCGGGGCGGCGGGAAGGGGCGAGACACACAGAGGGTACTCGTCCTCAGGGGGCGTCCCCGAGGGAGGTTCAGTTTCCACTGTGACGGGTGACACGGAGACCTGCCCTCCTGCCTCCCCGGGAGCCTAAGGTGGCCGGTGGGACAGGGGAGTACAGTACTGAGACGTGGCCGTGGCCGCGGCCACGGCACGGGGGCAGCCTGGCTCCCGGTGCGGTTGCAGTGGCGGCGGCTGCGCAGGCAGGGCTGGGCCGGGCAGCCCTGTGGATCCCTGGCTTTGGGGCAGCACCAAACACGACTGATGTGAGTCCAGAGGCGGGTGGGAGACGGGCGGCCTCGCAGCCCCGCAGCCTGGCAGGTGAGGAGGCGGCGTCCCAAGGACAGGACTCAATGCGGCAGGTCGGCCCGGCACAGAGCCCCGAGGCGGCAGTGGTGGCAGCAGCAGGCCCCGCGCAGGCCCTCCGGGACTCCCGGGCGCGGCGGCTGGGGCCCTCAGGTCAGCGCAGGCTCTGGTACAGGTAGGCTGAGGTGAAGAGGGCGTTGGCTGCCAAGCTCACAGCCAGGAGGCCCTGGACTAGGGAGGGGCCGAAACGACCTTTGAGAGAACGGAGAGACCCAAAGGCACGACGGTCAGAGGATGGACCCAGGGTGGGGGTCTCTGTGCAGCCGCATGCGCCCCAGCCTCCAGAGGCGCAGCTGTGGGGCCCCGCCCCCAGCTCCTTCCTCGTGCCCATTGGCCTCCCCACCCAGGAAGACACCCCAAACCGGGGTCACCAGCTCAAGTCCTGTCTCGCTAAGGAGGCCTTATCTCCTGAGCCCGTGTCGCCAGGCAGCCACTGGCGAGGGCGCCCTGTGGTTGCACCTTGGTGACGGCGGTAGGGACATAACCTCGCTTTACAGACAGGAAGTGAGGCTTCAGGTAATGAGACCCTGGCCCAGGCCTTGGGGTTGGCAGCCCACGGGGCCCCCACCCCAGTGTGCTCTGGGCACGACCTCGATGCTGCGGGGTCACACCCCCAGACCCCATCTGATGGGGGGAGGCAGCACGCAGCCTTCCCAGGAAACCTCCCTGTGCCCACCTCCAACAGACGTGCGCTCCGACCCCCCCGGGGAGAGTTCAGGCGCCAGCGGCTGAGCGCCCTGCCAGGGGCCCACCCGGGACGGTGGTGCCTCATTGAGCAGCTGCCAGGGGCCACACATGCCGGTGCAGCACATGACACGTGGCTGGTGCGGCTGAGGACCTAACTTATAACTCACCCCATTACCAAATTTCAATTTTGTTAAATTTAAACAGCCGCCCGTGACAGAGAGAGCAGACCCAGACCCAGTCAGCGGGCCAGCAAGCCACTGGGCGGGCTCCCTCACCGCCCTCCGTCCCTAGAGGGACCCTCGAGGGTCCCCCTCTGCCAGGTCCCAGACTGAACAGGAGGCGGCTGCAGGCCCAGGCCCCGGCCCCCTCGCTGCCCGGCGCCCCCCCGCAGTCGGTGCAGACCTGTCCGGGCAGCGGCCTCCTCGGAGCACCCTCTGGTGGTGGTGTCCACCACGCAGGTCGACGACTGCGACGAGTCGTCCTCCTTCTTGATGGAGCGGCTGCTGCAGGCGCTGCTTCTCTCCGGCACTGCCCTCATGTCTGCGCAGAGAGGGGCTGTCTTGGTGGGGGCTCCCGGCTCGCCCCCTGCCACCGCTCGCTGCCAGGGAGCTGGTTTTGCACCAGGAGCAGCCGGCACCGGAGCCAACAGGCGCCAGTAGGCAACGGCCTCAGTGAGGCTTCCAGGTGCTGGGGCGGGCAGGGAGCGGCAGGGACTGGGACACGGGCCCTCCGCCTGCCCTTCCCCCAGGCTGGCCCGGGTTCGGGCCCAGTCGGACCCCATCTTCTATCTCGTTAAGAGCCTCAGGACACCCACACGTTCAAGGGAAAATTCCAGATTTTCGAGGCTGAGGCCTAACTTCAGTAAATTTTAAATGTCTCACAGATCAAACTTGAGTAAGACAAAAATACCTGTCACCAGACGCAGCCTGGCAGGGTATCATGCTTTTCCGACCCATCAGAAGGAAAATATAACCTTCCAGGTCAATTGCAAAACAGGAAAATAAAATCAGCCAGCAGAGGGCAGTGTCCGGGGGGGGCGGTTCAAGGCCGTGAGAACCAGGCCAGAGGCTGCTGGAGCTCGGGGAAAGTGGCCGTGTGCACTCAGCTGAGACGGAGGCTGGGCCCTGCGCAGCCCGCTGACGGTGCCCCCCCACTACGCTGGGCGCGGAGGGGCTACCACGGCCCTGCGAGGCCCCGCTGCCTCCAAGGAGGGGTCAGGGGTCATACCCACAGTGTGCTTCGCATCCTGTGCCGGCTGCCTCTGGGGGATCCGGGGCGGCTCGAGGCTGAAGAGGCTGCCGTTGTGGGGCAAGTGCTCGTCGGAGCTGCTGGGGGTGCTGGGGGCCTCCCCGGGGGGCGACGGGAACAGTAGCAGCTTCTGCCCCTTCAGGTTGAGCCGAGCAGGGCTGATGAGCGGCCTGCGGCGGCGCAGGGAGCCAGAGCTAGAGGCCACCGAGCCGGCCACGGAGGGCGCCCGGGACGGCAGCGGGGAGGAGGGGCAGCTCCCCGACAGCAGGGAGAAGTGATCTGGAGGGCAGGGGAGGAGAAGATAGTGCCAGTCACGCATGAACGCTGGTGACTGTCACAGTCAGCTTGCCATGGCTGTTTTGTTCTCTACTGACCCAAAAAGCGAGGCAGGGCTGTGCACAGGCGAGGGGGACAGAGGGAGGCGGCGCCGGAGGAACCTCGGCGCCCCCTCCCACCCCACCTCCCGATTTCCATCCCTCAGCCGAGCAAGGTCTGCACAGACACCAGCTCTCGAGACCTAAGGCTGGCTCACCCACGCCTTGCTGATGGTGGGACCCCGAGCGTGCCATCTCTGCCAGGGGTCACTGATAAGGGCGACAGTGAGGTATCTAATCCCAGAAGCTACCACGTCCATTTGACAGAAGGGGAAACAGGTCCAGGGCTGCACAGCTGGGGGGTGCAGGGCTAAGACTTGACCTCAGACCCCTGTTCATCCCCCAGGCTCATGCCTAACCTCTGCCGCCCCGCCCCCCGCAGCGCTCTGGAGACCCGCCCCCTGCAGGCTGCCCCCGCCAAGGCGACGGCGGCTCCCCTTGGTTCTCTGTTTCCGTACCTGGCATGGGAAGCTCCGCAGCTCGAGACACCTGAGACGGTGGGCGGCTCCCACTGAACAGATACCCTGAGTCTGGCAAGGAAAGGAAGGTGACAGGTCAGGCTGGCAGGGACCCCCACGGCCTGAAATCTGGCCTCTATCACCTACTTCCCTCCTTTCACCCTGAGGGCTGATTAGCCGCACTCCATTGCTTCAGGAATAAACCCAGGAGCAGAGTGCCACCCCGAGCGGTTGGTCTGCGACCCTCTCCTCTACCACCACGGTCACCGAAAGGCTCTGACAGGGCCTGCACCGGCCACACCCCGCCCGGCGGGCATGGACCCCACCCCCCCAGCTCCTGCTGGGCAGCTCCAGACGAGTCTCTTGGGGAAGGATCAGCCGCCGGGCCTCCCAGGTCCTGTGCCCCGGGCACCCCGTGGTCCCTCCACTCCAGCTGCTGCTTGTGAGGGGCTCGGGAGGGCCCATCAGCGCCAGGGCCTGGACTGGGCCAGCTCTCCGCTGCAACCCGTGTGCAGACACTTTGGAGCTCTGGAATTAATGATTTCCTGGCAGGACAGGCAGCAGCCCGTCTCCCAGCAACCCGGCCACATCTGGTCACACGGGAACACCCAGAGCCTAGGTCTCCGCACTCAACACGATCCCACCTGCAATCCCACCCTGGAGGCCTCGAACCCCATCCACTGTGCAGCTCCAACACTGGCTCGTCCCCCTGCGAGCTGTCCCTCCTGCAGTGACCCACTCTCTACCCGCGAGGACCCCCACCTGCACACAGCAGGGCCACCAGCCTGAGCTGCGTTCATCCCCGCATCCCAGCAGCAGCGGGACCCCAGGCAAGTCATGGAAGGGGACTGAGGCTCAGAGGGCTGTCTGGCCGAGCTGGAAACAGCCCGCGCCCCCTACTCCGGCAGAGCTGCCGAGGGGCTCAGATGAGACAGCGACTGCCCGTTAGCAAGCCTGGTGTCACCCACAGGCACCCACGTTCTCAGAGGATGGTGTCCTGCTTGGCAGCCCCAGGCCTGGGACCCAGGGAGCCTGCTCCAGGGCCACCCCAAGGGCGAGGTGAACGCAGCCACGCTGGTGGCTTCCCCAGTGCTGAGGACACTCAGAGACCACATGCAGCGCCCAGAACAGGAAAAACTGGGCTGCATTTACGATCGCCTTTCCAGGCAGATCCTGGGGGGAAGGTGATGCACGAGACAGTCCCTGTGGCAGGGGCTAGGTCTCGGTCACGCTGGGGTCCCTGCGCGGCAAGCACTCAGTCCACGTGACGGACCCGAACCGAACCCTGCCCTGGGGACCCCGCGGAAGGCCGGGGCGAGGCTTCCAGCCCCCAGTCCTACAAACGACAGCAGCGTGAGGAGGGCAAGAGCGGCGGTGAAGAGCTGCCCGAAGGGCGCAACCTGGGCCGACCCCGCCAGGAGCCGCTGCCCCAGGGGGTGACCCTCAGCCACCCACAAGGCGGGTCTCCTTTTCCTCGAGGGAAGCTGAGGTTCAGAGTGCTGCGGTCAGTCCCTCGGCCAAGGGCAGCTGCTGAATGGCCGCAGCAGGATTTGAACCCAGCTCCTCCTGCCTGTGTAGCAGGTGCTCCAGCGGCCCGCAGTCCCACTCGGCCCGCTGACATCCGATGCCTCTTACCTGCTCGGGTCAGAGAGGGCAGGGTTCCCAGGGAGAGCGCCCGGCTGAGGCGGCCTGGCAGCGAGGAGGGCGAGGCCCGTCGGGGAGGCCGGAACAGCTGCTGGTTGGCGAGGGGCAGGAAGCCGGGCGGGGCGGGGAGCAGCAGAGACGAAGAGCCTGTGACGGCCGGGCAGGGGATGGCCAGGCTGGGGCCCACGGGGAAGAGGCCGGCCGGGTCTCCGGGGAGGTACCTGCAAGAGCCCGTGGGCAAGGGAGAGCGGAGCGGGGTCAGCCTGGAGGGCTCTGGAGGCGGACTCTGCCCAGCTGTCCGCCCCCCCGCCCCCACCCCGTGCAAGGAGGGGCCCGAGTCGGGGGTCCCCAGAGGAGGCGTGCGTTAGTTGAAGCGGAAAAGCAGTCCGACCACATTCACACCATTAGGATCGGTGGCTGGGAGGTGCCAGCGTGACCCACCCTTCCCTGCATGCCCCCCCACCCCTGATCCCCCTCAGCGTCACAGCAAACTAGTTCCACTACGAGTCTCGGTATTAAAGTGACACTGTCGCCCTTGCCAACCTCACGCTGACCCTTCGCCGTGAAGCACCAACACCCAGCCCCGTGCCAGGCTCTCAGGCCTCTCCTCCTCCTTCCTGCTCAAGCCCGGGGCCTCCCCAACGGCCCGAGCTCCGGGGCCCTGCTCCCCGGGAGGCCACCGCGCTGTCTGGCCTCGGACGCTGGACACTAACCAAAAGCCCCTCGGAGAGCAGAGTGGGGGTGGCCAGGCTTACAATCCCCAGGAAGACACGCGGCACACAAGCCAAACTTGAACTTACAGAAGACCCATAAGTGACCATGAGGCTGCCCAAAAGACGGAAGGTGACAGTGTCTCTTTAACTCGAGAATGGTACAAATCACACAACAGGACCCGGTGGCCCCAAGCCAGAACGTCAACCATGCTTCTGATTAAGGCAACCGATTACAGAGGCGGGGGGGGCACAGAGACAGTTAATACATTAGTCCGCCCACCGTCTGGACGGAGCTGCGGGGAGATCCAGCCTTACCTCGGTCCCAAGGGGCAAATGCGCCCACGGACAACGTGCCGACGGACTGGCAGGCCGACTCAGGCCCTGCAGCAGAGTCGGGGCCGCTAAGGGACACCCCCGACCCCGGCCCATCTTGACTGAACGCCCGGGGGCACTGTTGCCAAGCTGTACTCCTCCGAGTTCCTCACCATTTTCCACCCCCGCCCCTCCCTTTCAACAAGCTCTGAGCAAAGTGCAGGGTCAGTGCTGCCCTCCTGGAGATCACGTGGCCTTTTTAATGTCTTTCAAAGGGCCAGCAGGCCACCTGGGCTTCAAAACCAAAGGCAGGCCCAGGGTTTGAGGGACGTGGGGAAATCAAGGCAGGAGCTCATCAAGCCAAGGGCCTGGTCGACCTGGCTGGCCCCAGGCTGCACGTGCCTGCACTCTGGCTGCTGACCTCCTGAGGCCCGTCCGACCCTCACCTCCTTGCCCCCGAGATGTCTGAGGAAGCCCCACCCCTAAACAGAGGGCACGGCTCTGTGCCACAGGCTAGAACTGTCACACTATTTGGCACAGGGGGATGCCGTAGGCACCGCACAGGCGGTGCAGGTGCTGGGACCGTCGGCCAGCTCGCTCTGACCGCAACACCCCTGCTGCGGCCTGCGCCTCCTGGGGGACCAGGTCTGCCCTGCGGAGCGGCAGCCTGACGAGAGCAGGGCACGCCCGGGGCCTCCCAGAGGACAGCACCAGGCCTCTGGTGGGGAGGGGAGCTTCCTGTGCCGCCTCCACCAGGCAGCCCTCCTGAGGGCCACCCCCAGCAAGCAGCAAGTGAGGACAGGGTCCAAGCCGGCTGCCGGTTTCATCTGGCACAGGGGCTGTGCCCTGTCTCTGATGCCACTAAAAATGCTGGTATTGGGGGGAGGCAATTCTTTGGTCTGACCCTTCTCACTGTGACACCTGGTGACATCATTCAACTAGCAGGTCCTGATAAGGTGCCAACTGCAAGCTCTCGCAGAGAAAGGTCCCCAGGAGTCTCCTGTTAAAGGAGCCCCACCTCTGCTCCCAATGAACTGATGCTCCCCTTGGCAAGGCCCCGGCACCACCCTGAGCTCTCGAACCCCACTTCAGACCTGAACCCAAACCAGAACCCAAGCCTGTCAACCACTGGGAAACAGGGAGGGTCGGGTGCCTGCGACCTGACACTGCGAGGGATGTCTGGTCAGCGCCAAGCCAGTCCCAGCCCGAGACTGGAGCGGCAGGAGCGAGGGCGAGCAGTTTACTGAGACCCGGAAACCGCCCCCCCCCCCGCCGCCTGCAGGGCACACGAGGACAGCGGGGCCCTGTGCACCCAACGCCCACGTCGCCAGCTCCCCAGCCGACTCCTTGGGCAGCGCCTGTGCCCCAAAGCCCCCGCCCCTGGCACAGAGACCTTGGAAGGAACGTGAAACAAAAAACAAAAAAGACGTGGTACCTGACGCCCACCGGTCAAAGCAGGGCCCCGGAGGCATTTATTTAAAATACAGCACGAAACACACAACATCTAGGGCCGGCAACTGTGGTTACAGTGATCAGAGGGTCGCCAGACAATCATCCGCGGTTCCACACACGACGCACAGGACAGGACGGCGGGGACAGGCTCTGCCCCGGAAGGAGGAGACAGCCACGGCACCTCCCTCGTGTCTCTCGGGGACAGAGGTCCCTGGCAGGGGCGACACATTCGCAGTTGATAAACCGCAAACCCAGCGGTGCCTGTACATCCTGGCCGTGCCAGCGACATCAGGAGGCGCTGGAATATGCTCCAAATAACAACACTTCCAGGGACAGACAAGTAATTAAAAAGTCACACAAAACTCTGAGGAGACCAGGAAGCCTCCTCTGCTGAGGCTCATCCCATGAAGACGTCTTCCTGCCCCCGGCAGAGGGGAGGCCAGGCATCTGCTCGGCAGGGGCTCCTGGCCAGCCAGAGAGCTGGTCGTGGTTATTATAAATAATTTAACTTAAATACACACGTACACACAGATATCCTGCTTCTACTCAACGCCAAAAACAGCAGTAATTAGCATCACGCCGTCAGCTCCCCGGGCAACAGGAGGCTGGACACACGGGCACGCGCACAGCCTAGCCAACAGAGCCCCAGCTCGCGACCTGTCCGCGGGGGGGCCGGCTGGGGGGAAGGGGCAGGCGGACAGACCAGCAGGGCCGGGCCCTGGCTCGGCCACCCCACTCCTCTCCATCTGGTCAGTGCGCCCCGACCTCACCCTCACACAGAACGAGCAGGCAGGGCCTTGTCTGGGACCACACGGCTAAGAGGGGGCAGCTCCCATCCCGCCTGGGCCCTTCGCACACGGGCGCTGAGAGGGGCATGGGACCGGCAGGGCAGGGAAGCCTCTTAGGACGCCATGATCACAAGGATTGGTGGCAGCGGGCTCAGATGCTTTCTGGGACCTCCCTTGGGGTCTGGCCAGGGCGCTGTCCCCTATGCCCTGCAGGCCCGGTCGGTTGGTGGCCCCTGTGCCTGTGTGACCCAGTTCTGCCTTCCCAGGGCTCCGACGTGCGGAGTGGAACGGGGGCTTATGCTCAGAGGGACAAATGGCAGGATGTGGGCCCTGGAGGGAGCATGTGGCCTGTTCGGGGTCATCGGAGTCTGAAACACCAGGCAGAGGACAAGCCTGGCCCGCCCCCTGCCCTGTCCCTTGCAGGCTGTCCCCAGTTTCCAGTGCATGTCCACGCCAAGGCCAGCCCTTTCAGAGGCTAAACTGAGGCTGGGGCAGCATGGACCTGCAGGGCCACATGGCAAGTGAGTGGCAGGCCTGTGTCACACACCAGCCCCCTGGAATGGTGACTCCGGGGGTGGGCCGCCCCTGGTGGGACTCTGGGGTGGCACTGGCCCTCCCCTCCCACCTGGCCCAGGGCAGTGACGCTGAGGCCCCTGCGGGCTGTGGCTGCCCCACAGCCAAGTGGCAAAGAGGAGCCGCAGCATCCTCCAGGAGGGGCTCTAGGGCCAGAGACAAATAACCTCGTGTCCTCCTGGACCTGCACGTCCCTTGGACCACCTACCCTGTGCTAACCTTGGGCAGCTAGATCTTCGCCCAGGCACCATGGAGAGGTGAGCGGAGAACTGGGGACTTCCTCGGCATCGGGGCGGTAGCAGGGCCCACCGAAGCCATCCAGGCCCCGTACCGTCTGCCAGTCCGCGCAGCCTGGGCCCAGGAAGCCTGAATCCCAGTGCCCACCGGGGCACATGGAGGGCCTAGCAGTGAGGGTCGGGTCCTGACTTCCAGGGTGGAGCCAGGGGCCTCCTGGAGGTGGGCGGGGCGGGCGTGCCCTGGTCTGTCTGCCTGGCCCACAGTCGTGCCAAATCGCTGAAATAAGGCCTTTTCAGATTCCCAACCTGGGCAAACTCCCACCACAGCCTGGCTGTTAAGAAACCTGCTGACCACAGCGGAAGCAAGATTTTCCACCATTCACCTTAAGAGGAGCCTTGTCCTGCAAACTCAAGGTCAAGGCCAGTCTGGGCCCAAGAACGGAACCCTCCGCTCCCAGGGAAGGATGCGGAGGGGTCACGGGGCCTCAGGAGGGTCTGGGAGTGGGAACGGGACAGTGGAGCCCAGGCAGCGGCCTGGGCTCCTTCTGGTTCCACCGGCTTCAGCAGGGCCGGCTGGGCACTGGGCAGGGCCAAAGGGACTGACTAGGCAAAGGATGTGGGGATGAGGTGCGGGCCCCACTCTGCACTTCGCGCAGCAGCACCTGCCTGTGTCGCCTTGCCTGAGCGGTCAGGCCACAAGGCAAGGGCCAGCCTGAGGCCATAGGGACCAGCCTGTGCCAGGGGCTCAGAGCAGGGACTGGGGAAAGGAGAAGCAGAAAGCAGGCCCATAACCCTCATCCCACGGTGTCAGAAATGGAGAGAGCTGTGGCCAGGATGGGAACACGCAGGTCACAGGCAGGCTCTGCGGGTGTTGCCTGTGTTCTGGCCTTGGGGCAATGGGAGGTCTTTGGCCAGATAGCCAGTGGCAGCGGTGAGCAGCCACGGGGCACTCGCCGAGTGCAGGGGGCAGGGGACGGGGGGTGGCTTAGTGGCGTGGAAAGGAACGGGGAAGAGGGCAGGCTCGACTCCTCTGGGCGGCGGAGGGGCTGGGCCAGGACGGGGGCCCTCGGTGCGGCAGGCGCGAGTGGGGCGGGGAGGCAAGATGCAAGACAGAAAAGCGCCCTGCTGTGGGCTGGGGACAAAGCTCTGGGCCTGTCCGTCCGTCTGTCCTCCCCCCGCAATCACTGCTGCTTCTCTGACCTTCGGGGCCGGAACCTCCGTGGGCCCATCGCCTTCCTCGTGGCCACGGCTGCCGTGAAGCCCACCAGGCAGCACAGGGACATGGTGCTGAACTTGAGTGTGTCCAGCCAGCTAGGTGAGGCGGCCTGCAGGTACTGCCCGGCCAGGTGCAGGCCCAGCAGCAGGGCCCACAGGCCGGCGGAGAAGGCGTCGATCCTCCGGAGCCTGTGGGGAAAGCCGGGCTTGCGTGAGGGCCTCTCTAGGCAGGACGAGACCCCTCCCTGTCCCGCCACTGCCTGCCTCCTTCCTCCGTCCGACCCCACTCAGGGGACGGAACCAGGGCCAGGAGGGGCGTGTTGGCCCTCCCACCCGCCTGCAGCGCGTGCCCCCGCGCAACTCCGAACAGGGCCGAGTTTCTCCTGAGCCCGGTGCCCTGGCCTGTGAAACAGGGCTGAGAAACCGCCCCCAGGGCCGCTGAAGTGACAAAGACGTCACCGGAACAGGGTCTGCACCTGCACTGGGAGGGAAGGCAAAGGCCCGAGGGCACCCCACCCACTCGACTCTCAGCCTGGAGTCCCGGGTGGGGAGAAGCCAGGCCATCGGGCCCCGGGGGCCCGCTCTGCGCGCCACCACCCCTCCGACGCCATGTCGTGTGTTTGGTTTTGCCCACCGGACTCCTGGCAGCTGGGCAGAGGAGTGCGCCGTATTTCGTTGACGCAAGCTCAGCCCGGGGCTGTGGCCCGGCGGGCTTCCTGGCTCCAGCCCCAGCGCCCCACCCCTGGGAGCCCAGCTGCCCACACACACCTGATGCGGCCGGCCAGCAGCATGGCCAGCAGGCAGGCGAGCAGGCCCAGCATGACGACGCCCGTCTGGTGGCTCCGGCCGAAGGCCCAGGCCTCCCGCAGCTTCTCGGCCCCCTGCTCTGGGAGCAGGCCCAGCAGCTGCCGCCAGCCCTCGGCCCCAGGTGCAGTGCCGTTGTCAGGACTAGCTGAGCCGTTGCCTCCAGGGGGCAAGGCTGGGGGCAGGGTGACCCCCGGGGCAAAGGGGTCACTGGTGCCGTAGAGTGCGGTGGCCAGCAGGAAGGCGCAGGCCAGGAAGGCGAGGGCCCGGAGCACGATGACCTGGGCTGGGGCCTTCACCGCGGACGAGCAGAAGCTCTGAGGGAGGGAGACACCGGTCAGTGGGACAGCCAGAGCCACCCACTGGTAGCGGTGGCCGGGGCCCCCACCTGGGGCCTGGCGACCAGCGGGGAGGCCACCTTCACCAGGCCCCCAGCGCGCTCAACCCCGCTCCGGGCTGGGTGCTGAGCCACTGTGGCTGGCCCACTTCCGGTCTCTCCCGACTGTGAGAGTGACTGTCGGGAGGGGCCCACAAGTTCTTTAAAGAAGCCTCTGCGGTAGGATTCTACCTCGTTCTTTCAAGTAAAATTTCCAACAATTTTGCCAAATTCTCACCAAAAATTCCTACCGTGATGTTAATGGGATTATAATAAACATACAGGCAACTCTGGTCAAAGGTAAAACACAGCAGTGAGTGGCTCAGTCCAGGGACACGGCAGGGAGGGGGAGGCCACTGAGTGCCTTGCTGCGTGCACACAGCACGGCGCAGCGCGCGGCTGGGGGTGTGGCCATGTGGGCAGGGCCTGGCTGCAGACTGGAAACCACAGGACACATCTGGGGGCCCAAGTGGGTGGGTGGGTAGGAGTTTCTTGGTGGAAGTTTTATGTATAAATCTACCTGCTCTTGTGCCTGACTTTAAAAACCAGAACATTCCACTAACTGAATGTTGTGATAAAAAAATTGAGCCCCAGCCCAACTGCCCTGGGTTCACACTCTGGTGACTCGGCACAGCAGGTGCGGGGCCACCCGCTGCCCCCAGCCTCCCGCCGGGTGTCTGGGGCTGTGGACGGCAGCCGCAGAGCTAAGCACACAGTCACCGCAGGGTGCTGCGGAACAAATGCCAGGTGTGGGGAGGTGCCCAGACACAGCGGGCAACGCAGACCCGTCAAGGACGCAAGTGACGGGGGCCCCGCACAGGGCCGCTCTGCTTGGGACACCCACTCCGCCTGCTGACACACAGGGGCCTGGGACAGGGTGGAAACACAGCCCCATGGGAAGGCTGCGTCCCTGGGGGGGGCCTCAGCCTGGAGAGCTGCCCTCCGCCCAGTGGGGCCCACCCTCTGTGAGGGGGTTTCCTGCACAAGCCGGAGGGCTGAGACACCCCCAAATGCCCGATAGGCACCCTGTTCCGCTCAGACCTGTGTGTGGCTCTGGTCAGCCTCCCGGCGCTTGAATTGGTGGCTGAGCAGCAGGGCGCGCAGCTGGCGGTTCTGGTGCTTGATGTAGTGCTCGACGGCTGCCTGGCACGGCCGGCACAGCTTGTACATCTGCTCCAGGTGGTGCCGGTACACCTCGATCTCCTCGTCGTACCTGCCCTGCGGGGCCGGGGGAAGGGCTCAGGGTCTTTGGCTTGGTTGAGGCTGCCCGTGTCCAGCACACTGAACCTGGGTTCACTCGCAAGGAGGGTGACAGACTAGGGGCGAGTCGTCCCCCTCGGATCCTGCGTCTCCCACTGCCCAAGAGGACAAACCGTGCCCTGGGTAGGGTGACCGCGGCTACTGGGGTAAGGGTGGGCCCAGGACGTGGCGGGCACCCACAGTGATGGGAGACACTGTGGCCATGTTCTCTTGCTCCCAAGGACCTCGGTGTGGTCCTGTCTCAGGCCCTGTACCCGGACTCGCGCTCCAGGAGGGCGACGAGCCACCGGAGGTGGCGGCTCTGGGCTGACACTGGCTGGCCTCGGGCAGAGGCAGGGCCTCCCCTCCTGTAAACCCTGGGTCTAGAAAGCACCAGAGGGCCCCCGGCCAGTCTCGATGGGAGCTGCAGGGTCCTTGGGGTTTCAGGAAAAGCCTGGAAGACCGAGCCCAACCCCTTTTCTCCTCCTAAGGATGTGGCGATGTTCCTCCGCCCCGTCCCCAGGCAGCTGACCAGCTCCATCTGCAGCAGCCACCTGGCTCACGAGTTCGACCTCATCTCGCTGAGACCACGCTTGCCAGAAAAGCTGCCCTGTTGCCCAGTCACATGTGCCCCTTTCTTTCTGCAGACTCCCCACCTTTCCCTGCCTGGCCCGCCCTTCCCTGTGTCGCTGACCCCCCAATTCCAGGCTTGGCCTTGGGAAGGCGGCGGCTCTGGCCCTCAGCTCCTGAGGTCCAAGCACTGGTCTGGGGGCGGGGAGGCAGGACCAGCCAGGTAACAACGCTGCGGGGCTCCCTGATGGAGGGACGTGAACTTATATCCAGCCTCTTGGCAGCGCCCAGCTTCCCCTGCCCCTCCCGGAAGTCAGGAGCTCCCTGCACCGACCCCACAGTGAAGCGCTGCCGGCCAGTGGGCAGGCCTGACTCAGGGGGACGCGGACAGGATGCATCTGACAGGGCCCCAGCCGGAACCACCTGCCTCTGCCCAGGGACAGGCCCCTCTGGACCAGCACGCTCTACGTTTCCACGATGTTCGCAGGCGTGGAACCAGGAGAGGGACATGAGGCAGAGGGGAAGGGAAGTGAGCCGCCACCGGGGTGAGACACAACGCACTCACTCGGAGCACAGGCCTGCATGGGGAGAGCCCCCTGCCACCCAAGGCTGCTCTCAAGCTCCCCAGGCCCCACCCCCCGCAACAGGGCATGCCCCACCTCCTGTCCCTCCTCACCTCATCGCGGGGTGTGAAGGCGGCCAGCTGCTTGATCTTGGTGGTCTGGTGGTGGCTGCACCTCCTGCACAGCAGCACCTGGCTGCTCACCCACTGCTGGGGCTGCGGGGGGGTGCAGGGGCTGGGCGCGCTGCTAACCACGTGGTTCAGGTGCTCCAGGTACTGGGCAGGGATCGGCTTGTTGTAGTCGCCATTCTGGGGGTGGAGGGACGGAGTCGGCCAGGGAGCTCTGACCCGGCAAGCGAGTCTCTGCAGCGGCCCGGGTGGGGCGCTCCACCAAGCGGCAGCAGGCCTCCAATGGTCCCGTCCCTTCTTTCCAAGCTACAAACTGCAGAGACTTTTCTGCCACGTTCACTTCGACAGGAACCCTGGAGGCCAGCTGCCGAGGCTGCAGCCCGGAGCCGCGGTCTGGTGCGGGGCTGAGAAGGAGGGCCCACAGCTGTGAATCAAGTCTCCTCGTGCCACAGCGGCACGCGCTTGTTTGCACGGTGGCTCGGCCGGGCTGAGCTGTGGGCACAGAGCCGTGTGGCCTGCAGAGCTGGAGGTGCTCCCTGGCCCTTTGCAAGGAGCCTGCCGATCCCTGGGCTAGTGCACAGCGGGCAGAGAACACACGCTAGGAAGACCCAGGGCTGAACCCCAACCTGCCTGCTTCAGCGGCCTGACTCTGGGCAGGTCACCTCGGTCCCCTGAGCCTGTTGCTTTGCCCTCAAAGGACAGGCGCAGGGCCACAGCTGCGGTGAGGGGACGGGCCTGCCAGGCCCTGGGCGGGACAGGGGCCCGGGCGTACCTCTTGGAAACCGTTGTACTGTTCGCAGTGGGGACAGTCCCAGCAGTTGCGGTTCCCGTAGGGCACCACCGTGTCCTGGTTGCAGAACCAGCAGTTGACTGTCGTGTGTGTCGGCTTTGTCCTGTGCACGAGGGAAAGGCAGAGTCAGCGGGCAGATCCCTGCACGCCCCCTGCCCGAGCACGGAGCCCAGGGAAGGGACACGGGGGCAGGACCGGGCAGGGCGAGAGTCCCGACTGGATTTTCTGCGTCCACCGAAGGACCAACAAGGAGGCCAGGAGGCTCGGGCTTCTCCCCAGCCTCCAGGTGGAGACCCCGCGCCCCCGGAGTCCTGGCATTCACGAGGTCCCTGGGTGCCAGCACACCCACGAGGGGACCCAGGGCCACCTGCCCCTGGCTTCCTGGGGCTGAGGCGTGCGGCCACCAGTGACCGGGGCCCAGGACCGACGTCCTCCCTGCAGGACCCGTGTCCAGGCCGCAGAAATGGTCCTGCTGGGGAGCCTCCGTATGGGAGCAGCGTCCTGGGCTCACAGGAGAAAATCCCCAGGAATGGGGGCCAGGGAGGCAGAGAGGCAGGGGCCAGGGACAGCTGCTCGGCCTGGGGCCAGAGCCCCTGGTCCAGAGAACAGAGTGGGCCGGCCCCAGGGGCCTTCCCAGCCACACGTGTGGTGACAGGTGGGGCCTGCAGGACAATCCCCGCACAGACACCAGGGGTCTGTGCTCTGGGCCCTGCTGGCTGTCTTACTGTCTAGGGGGGCACACAGCAACTGCCCAGCTGACCCTCCAGTCCCTGGAATCTAGACACAGGTGGGTGACAGCAGGCAGCTGCTTGAGCCCCGGGTCCTGCTGCAGCGGGCAGCCACGCCACGCAGACGACCCTGCGGCCCAGAGCGGGGCACGGCCCCCAGCTTCCAGCAGCAGAGGCCCCAGCCCTGCTGACTTCCAGACGTGGGCCCGGGGAGCCCTCTGCCTGCCTGGGGCTGCGTTTGCCAAGTGCAAGGCCACAGTGCCCAGGGCATCCGCGTGACAAGGATCCAGTGACATAAGACACATAAAGGCGCTCTGCAACCTGCAGGGCCAGCTGTCCCTGTCCTGTCCCTTGAGAGCAGAGCTCCTACTCCAGACACTGCAGCTGCCTCCCCGCCTCGCCCCTCCACCGGCCACGGGCAGGGCACAAACGCTCTCTAAGCCTCAGTCTCGTCACCTGTTCACCGGGGACAAGAGCACCTCCCTCACAGGGGGACTGTGTGTGGGAACTGCTTAGCTGTGCCTGGACAAAAGGCTCAGCACATGGCGGATACGGCAGGGGGGCAGAGAGCGGAGGCGGCTCAGGGAAGTGGGCCACCCGAAGCCCCCTCAAACCACTTCTTCCCCAAGCCAGGGATGGACAGAGGAGACGGAACCAGGCTCTGCAGGGAAGGGCCCAGGGCCCACAGAGCTGGGACCCCCTGGCCCAGCTCAGGCCATGCCCTCCCAGGGGACAAGGGGCTGCCAGGTCATGACTTGCCCACAGGGGGGCCTGCAAAGAGCAGCGCTGTGGTCACAGGTGTGGCCTTTGGGGGAAGATCGCCCTGCCCCCCAAGAACCTGCACTTCACTTGCTTGTTGGGGCACAGGAAGGCCGCTCGGAGGGTCAAACAGGAGAATCAGGACAAGAGTGAGCCTGCCCGGCAGGCAGCCATGGCTCAGCACTGAGACAGCTCCACTGGGCTCCGAGCAGGGCGCGCGGGAGGCGGCGGCTCCACCTCAGCTGGAGGTGTGGGTGCCACGGCGCTCGCCGAGATGCCAGCACTTGGCACCCTGGGCAATGAAGCACCGGGCCTTCTCTTTGTTAGTCAGCACCTGCTTTACAGGCCTCTCTGTAACTGTGCCCGGGGCATGGCCCAGTGGGTGACGAAGCAGGCTGGTGACCCGTCTCATCTGCCCCCTGGGGCCCTGCAGCCTCACAGAGGGCCCTTCAGTCCTCTCACCCCGGAGCCCCACCACACCACACTGGCCTCGGCACTGAAGCCGAGCGAAGAGCTGCAGCCCACGAATAGAGAGGCGGGGAAGGCGGGACCAAGACGCCGGCCCGGAGAGCAGTCGCAGGTGTGCCGCCCCAGAAGCCATCGTTTCCGCGCTGACTCTCCAGCTCGGGTGCCAGGGAAGTGAGCCTGGCCTGCAAGCCGGGGGCAGGAAGGGGGGGGGGGGTATTAGCCCTGGTCCCCAGGGCTGGCGGCTCTGGCTCCCGTCGCTCTCAGCCTTCAGCAAATCCTTGCCCAGGGTGTGTGTGGGGGGGGAGGGCCCGCTGTCGGGCCACAGCGGCCTCCCACAGCCCCGCAGCAGTCTGAGGCCGGTGAGAGGCAGATGGGCCAGCAAAGCAGGGGGCAGCTGGACGTGAACCTCGGCCCCCAGGCACCAGCACGGGGCCTCCCACACGTTATGTTCACGAGCAAATGTGAATCGTGTCTGGGGGTGACACTCCAAGGCCGAATCCACAGCCTGTACGGTTTCCATGGGTGGCCCTGCCGTCCTGGTCTCCACGTGGCCTGACCCAGGAACGCGTGGGCCAACCTGTTCTGAGCCAGCTTAGTCCTGGCCCCGCTCTTGCTCGGGGAAACGCCTCCCCGCACGCTTCCCTTGTGAACCCCTCAACCCACTTCTCCCCAGGCCAAAACCCCTGCCCCAGCAAGGCTCTGGGACCAGCCGCTCTTAGCGGAGAAAGTCTGATGTGACAAGGCAGAATGTCCCCGTCCGCCTCAGGAGGTGGTGCCAGTCCCAGCAGGCGCTCATTCACCCAGCTCCTGCCACACCACTCCTGCGCTGAGCTCTGGGGCTGTGCTGGGACCCAGGAGGCCTGAAGCGGCTGTGCGCAGGGGGTGGGAGGATCCTCTGGGGGGGCTGGGGCAGCGCTATGCTCCGGACTCAGCCCTCCCCAAGCCTGACCGCCCACTGGGAAGAAAAGACCAACACGTGCCCTTAATTACAGTATCGCCCCATCAGCCCCAGACACAGGTGCTGAGTTAAAATGAAGCTCGCGTTCTGACATCCCACCATTCCCTACATGGGGGGGGGGGGCAGGCGGGAGTGTTCCAGGAGTGAGACCACCACCGAGGGCTGCAGCTCCAGGTCCCTGGCCCAGGACCCTGCCAGAGGCTGGGCAGCTGCTGTGAGCCAGCACTGTGCCACGCGGAGGAGATGCTGGACTGGGCCCTGTCCCCGTCTGGGGCCTTGGAGCCTGGGGAGGCCAAGGTGCCCACGAGCTCCCCCCAGGCCCCGAGGCGCGCCCAGCCTCCCCCGAGAGGGGCCTGGCACAGAGCTTGAGGCCGGGACCCCTGGACAACACCCAGGACTGTCTCACAGGTGAGGCCGTCCTTGCTCGCTCCCCTGTGCCTCAAGTGGACCACACACGCTGTCCCACCCAGCAGCCCAACAGCGAGAACCTGAGAAAGAGCCTCCAGGGCCACAGCGAGAGCGACAGGGAAACACCAGGCAGAGCCCACTGAAGGCCACAGCAGCCCTGCCACCCCAGACAGGAAGCCCCGAGCCCACCTCTCCGGGGGCAGACATGGCTGGAGCGGGCGGACCCTGGGCACCTTGTGCTGGCTGACTGAGCCAGGCTCACAGAGGGGCAGGAATGAGCAAGCTCTCCACTTCCGATCTGGACACAAGGACGAGACCGACGACCTCACGGGGCAGCTGGTGACAGAGGCCACAGGAGAGAGGCCAACAAGTGGAGCATCTGCTGTCACCGTGAGGAACGGGTTTGCTGGCCGGCAGGGCAAAAGGAGCAGATGGCATTCAAATAGGCGGGGCTGCTGGGCAGAGGGGTGACTACCCAGCGTGCATCCAGGGTGCCGCGTCCCCTTGGCCGGAGAGTGCGGCACCAAGACAGCATGGAGGGGGGGCATGGAGAGCTGGGTGCCAGGGCAGGCTCTGCTGCACCCCCTCAGTCTCCCAACACGACAAAGTGGGCAATCCAGTAGACACCTCTGGGTGCCATGGGTGGCCCGAGGTCCCGAGTGGGGATGTGCTGGCAAGGGTGGGTCCTGGACACAGTGCAGAGGAGCAGGGTCTGAGGGGGAAGGGGATGGGCTCTGGAAGCCATGACAACCACCTGGACCCTGGGCGAGCAGGCCCACGGAAGTGTGATTTGGGCTCCCACGGGTACAGAGGGCAGCCAAGCCCAAGGCTTGGCAAGGGGCTGAAGGGCTGGCGAGGGGCGGGGTCTGCTGTTAACAGCTGGGTGCTGAAGTGCAGGAAGCGCAGCCTGCCAAGCCTCGTCTCCTTGGCTGTAGAACGCGGGGAACAGCAGCACCTGCCCCCCAGGTTGCACCAGGTGGCAGCACGCAGGTGCTTCCCCACTGACTCTTTACAGTAACCAGGTCAGGAGAACCCGCAGGTGTGGGAGCCAGGTGGGCCCTGCCTGAGGCTCTGGGAGCACTTCCGGGAGGGGACCTCCTCCCGCGGTCCCACAGCCAGTCTTCCCTCCAGGTCCCCTGTGTTGAGCCCACACCCACCCACCAGGCCAAGTCGCTTTCCATAAACAATTCTCCTCACATGTCCACCAGAGGGTCATTAAAAAAAAACCCTTGCTGTGGCCAAAGCCATCGATCCTCTCTGTCATGGGGTTCTCCTCCCTGGAGGGAGAAGGGCTCAGCCTCTGCAGGGCTGGTCTTGCTTCTGAATCGTGACAGTGGCCAACTTATGAGCCTCATGCAGAAGCCAGCGCGCTACGAGCATCTCAGAGCATCCTGGGAAGGGCTGGTCCTTCTCAGCCCAAAAGGTCTCAAGGCCGCCCCAGAGCACCCCTGCTGCTGCCGGAGCGGAAGGCTTTGCAGGACCCTCCTGCTCCCCAGCCCCCCTCGGGGAGAGGGAAAGCTGTGGCTGGCAGCCTGAGAACGGCCGAAGCACAGGGCATGGGAGTGCGCAACACAAATGAAGCTCGGCGAGGTCGGGGACAGTGCTCCCACCCAGGCTCTGATCCTTGCGGCAAAGTCTCCCCATCCCAGCTTAACTGGGAGGCAGCGGCATCCAGAAGACACGCCCTGCTCCAGACCCACCTCTGTGTCAACGTGCTCTGGAACCTGAGCAAAGCATTTTCCACCTCTGCACCTCAGTCCCCTGGTGTATAAAATGACTGGTTTGAACCAGCTGGTCTCATAAGCCCTCCCAGCTTCCAGAAATTGGGCAGGAACTGGGACACTAGACATGTGGGTTGTCAGGGACCCCTTGAGTTGGGGGTTCCTTCAAGCCCCAACGGCCCTCCCCTCCTCAGCCTGCCAGTCTGGCTCCTGCAGACGCAGCTGGTGTCCCTCCTCCCCCTGCCTCCCCCAGGAGCCTGTAACTCAGTCACCCTCACTTCTGCTCCTCTTGGGTGAGAAGTGGGACGTGGTGGTGATTCAGGCAGAGCAGCAAAATTACTCAGGTTCAAATCCCACCTCCACCACTTGTGCCAAATGACTGTGGGCAGGTACCTTTCCTTCTTCCACCCAAAATCTGAGCTTCACACATTCCTTGCTGAAGCTACAAACCCACCGTGTCCCCAGCATGTCCTCACAACGCCACCTTTCCCCCCGTCCCCTGGAAAGGTGGATCAGATGGGGAGACAGGCTGCAGGAGTCCCGGCAGAAGCAAGTACCTTTAGCCCTGACGACCGACCGAGGTTCCTGAGACTTGGGGGCGGGCCTGAGCCAGCTCAACAGCAGCCTCGGCCCACTTGAAACCTTTGAGGTGCGCAGGCTTTCCCCGCTCTCTGAAGCAGGACAGCCCAGGGGTTAGGAATGCAGGCTCCAGGGCCAGACCCTCAGATGACACCCTAATTCTTCTGGTAATTAATACCAGTTTCCTTAGTGCTTCTGTCCCTCAGCTTCTCTAGGGGGAGCAGGGGTTGTGACTCTGAAATGGACTAGCGTGAGATTAGAATGCTGGAGACTGTGCAGCAGACCACGGAGTGCCATCTAGCACATCATGCCACCCCAACGTGCTCTCCAGGGCCAGGGGCGGGGCTGAGCGCGGAAAGCAGTCAGCGCCAGTGCGATCCCGCCGGGTCCTCCCGCAGGGCTTGGGGAGCTCGGGTGTGAGTATGCGGGAGTGGGGGCGGCTGCAGATCCTGCGGTTCGGCCAGCACAGGTCTCCGTAGGTGAGAAGGTCTGTAACCACGTGATAGCTGTTGTCCCCCACCCCGCATTCCTGGGGTCCCCAACCCACTCCGCAGCCACATCAGGATAAGGATTCCAAACCCGGTGTTCTTTTGGGGGATGGTGGGGTGTGCAGAGCGGGTATTAGCACGTGGGTACACAGGCCCGGCCCCCACCGCAATGCCGAGGCCTCGCCGGGCACGGGTAGGGAGGGGCCGTGCAGCTCCAGAACCTGCCAGGGCGGGAACGCCGCGAGCGGAGGGCAGCGGGCAAGCGGCGGGGGGCGACAGGCCGAGGCCGCGTCGGCCTCGCGCACTCACCTCCGCGCGATCCGGTAGAGCAGCACGCCGGCCGCAGCGCACGCCGTAACCCCCAGGCCGCCAGCCAGGCCGGCCGTGGGGCAGCGGGCCAGCAGCGCGCTCACTCCCTCCATGGTTCCCCGCGCGGTCGGCTGGAGGCGGGGGGCGGGCGTCGGGCGGCGGAGAGTAGGCGGCGGCGCGGGGGAGGGCCGCAGGCGAATCGCGGGGCGCGGCGGCGCGCACCTCCTCGCGCCGTGACCTTCGTCGCTTTGTAGCCGGCGCGGGCCCGCCCCCTGACTCGGCGCGCTCCCGCCGCGCAGCCAATCGGGGAGTGGGACGAGCCCAGTGGGCGGGACGCCGGGGGGAAGTGGCGGCCAGACCGCGCCCTCTTGTGGCCGGAGGTGGGATGTGGCGCGGGGCCCGGCCCCGCGCACTTCGCTCCCGCGCTCTCTCGCCAACCTTAGCCCCTCTGGATGCTGGACTGCTTGGAACTAGTCCTCTGCTCCTGCAGGTCCTGTCTTCCCAACGCCTAGCCAAACCCGGCCTCTGTGCGCAAGGCTGGTTTGCTCCTTAAGCCGCTTCCACTGCAGCAACGCCAATGGTCAAAAATGATTTATAGAAACATGGTTATGTTTATAGAAACTGGGACGAGGTTGGATCAATCATAGGACAGCCATACCTCTGAACATAATGCAACTATTGGAATGTCAGAGCTATAGAAATTGGCCTGGAGGAATGATACAATGTTCAGAAAAAGCAACATGCACATTACTTTTAACAATATCCTAAGTAGGGGATGGTAAATGAACTGTAGTTACCTTCAGGAGGTGGGATTAGCAGGGAAGATTGGTTTTACGCGTTTTAGTATTACGGACTTTGGCTAAATTACTTTTATAACTAAAAAAGAAAAAAAGGAGTAGGAAATATTTGTATTTAATTACACAATACGTTTCAGTGTTCTCCCAACTTTTCCCGTGTTTTGGGGAGTCACTATTAAGAGTTCTTACTGTTGTGGACAGCAGCGGTTATGTGCCAGGTTTCCTGTGGCTGCTTAACCTGTCCCACACCCATCGTGTGCATTAGTGAAGAGCTGCCTGTGGAGGGGGAAGGGAGCTCACACGGAACCTGGGGCCACTAGAGTCTGCACCGGAAGCTCCTCACTTTTGCCAGAGCAGAGGCCTTTCTTTGCTGTGCAGTCTTGCCGCTTTCCTTGCCCCTGAGCCCCCAAAGGAATGAACAGCAGTGAAGCTGCCCTCTAAACATGCAGCACCTGCTTAAGTGCCATTCTCTTCCCAAGGAAGCATCAGCGTCTGCACAGCATCGGCTCCCAGGAAGGGCTCTGGCCTGGGCATTACTGGTTCCAACACAGCTCTCTGAGGACGCCGCCTGTGGACGCACGGTCCTGCAGGAAAGCGAGTGGAATGGTTTGCTGGGCCTTGGCCTCAGTGTCGTCTTGTCCCACAGGCTCAGCTGTGCCCACTCAGCTTCTTGCCGACCACCTCTGAGCCTCTTTGTAAAATGTGGGCGATGGTAATAATGGCCTCATGAGGTTGCCAGAATTAACTGAGAGAAAATATACACCTTGCACACTGAGGGTCTTTTAAAGTCTTTTACATATGCGTACTGTTACTTAAAAATAACAAAATCCCAACGACTAAGCTTGTGGAGAAGGGAGGAATGAAGCATGAGCTTCCTCCACAAACAGCTCCAACAGTGACATTTCCCACTTAAGAATCCAGCGAGCCCCTTCAGGAAGGAGGCGTCACTTTCTCCTGCCTGTTCCCATCCAGCTCTTGGGGCCCACGCTGCTTGCATTTCAGTGCCCTGGCGCTGGAGAAGCAAGTGGAGACGTCACAGGCACTAGAGCGACATCAAATTGATTAATTCAAGAACATGTAAGTGAAAATTATTTCGATATAATTCTATCCAAATAGTGAATATTAAGCAAACTAATTTTTAGTTTTCGTATTAAAAATCTTCGGAAAAAAATCAGGTTTTAATGTGAGTATTAAAACAGGAAGGCGTTGCTAAGTGTCACTATTATCAGACAGTTGTTAAAACGAGGCTCTGGAATAGAAGTCCCTTTATTGTCATGCATTTTGGAAGCACTGAGGCGTGACTGAAGCCATTTATTTTGGCTCCTACATAGTTGTTGACAGTTGGAGCAAATTGTACCAGAGCGCTCACCACCACCAACCAGACTCCTTTACGATGAAAGGGGAACAAAATTATAAAGTCAATGTAAATACAATGAGAAAATACCCTCCTCTCGCCCCGACCAGGGTACCTGCACCTGGGAAACTCCACGTGTGGCCGTCACATCCTTCTAGATGCTCACACCGAGGAAGAACCCAACGTGCCGCACGTGGGGCGTCCAGGGAGAGCCAATGGAAGACAACCCATCTTGCCTGCCTTCTGTCTGAGCTTTTTGTCCCATACTAAATTTCCTCTTAAGATGGCAGGGTGGATTTACAATTCTGGTCATGTTCATTTTTAGGATGAAAACTTTTTTCGGGGGGGAACTAGGGTATTTACACATCACCACCACTTCCGGTCAGGCTAGAAGTGAGCTCTCCAACGAGCGACAATCAGCCTGGGTCACGCCCCTCTTCTCCCAGCGGTGGGGACCTGAGAACAGGGTCCACGCCCTCAGATGGGATGTGTCACTCACATATTCCACATTCATGGGCGGCCGCTCAGGGGGCTGCACTCTAGCATACCTATACCTACAAGGTACCTGGGCTTGACTAGGCTTCACTTCTGGAAATACAGCCCAGGAACAAGGAGGCCACTGGTAAGCAGAACAGTTCTTTAAAACTCTTGCCTTAGGTTCAAGCTGGGGATAGAGGACAACTTCAGGGAAGTGTATATGGTTTAAAATATTTAGTGTCAGAAAGTCCTATCTTTTTTTTTTTTTTTATCAGCAGCCTGAAAGCTTGGATTGTCAATCTGTATGAGATCTGGAATTGTACAAAGGAGAACAGCAGCTAGGAAGTCTGTCTTGGTCTGCCCAGTGCCACCGAAACGTGATGCCTGCTCCCTGCCCCATGCAACATCTGACAGTCAGACTGGACAACAGGTGTGCTTTCACTTTAGGGGTTTTCTCTGCCTTTCTAGGGTTACGTTTCCCTAAATTCCTATAGTTTATAGTACAGAGAACATGAAAGAGGACGCAAACCAAAGTTATACTTAAATTAAATAGCATGATTTAATTTAGTTGCTGCTGAATCCTGAATCCTCTTAAGTTAAAAAAAAAAGTTATAATTAACTATTAACGTTAATGAATTTAAACCTTCTAGAAAATGTGAATCCAAAAGGAAATGTCCAACAGGTGACACGAGCCACATTTTTTGTGGCCTTTCCTGTTTCGGTCTTGAACATTCTAAACATCAACAGAAAAAAAAAATTTCTCTATCGAGTTTTTCAGTTTTATTCTCCTACAGCACAATTCTCTGGCCTGTTACTTAGGACGGTCTTCCAACAGGTACACAATTAGCTCGTAGGTAGACAGCACAATGGCAGTGTTTGGTATCTGCCGGATGAGCTGCGCGAAGAGTCCTCTATAAAAGGCGAGGTAGCCTTCTTCCCGGAAGACCAGCCGAGCGGTCTGCACGAAAGACTTGTACTTGGTGCCCTCCTCCCGGAGCCGTGTCCTTATGACTTCTGCAGAGAGAAACACGCACGTTATGCAACAAATACACTGCATTTCCAGGCCGTGGGAGGAGCGAATTCAAAGCACACCTCTCCCTGCCCCCCCTGTTCCCCCCCTACTGGGACAGAGGGAGTCACAGGGACCGTGAAAAGGTAAGATCTGTTTAGAGTATTTTCTAACTCTGGGAAATGACCAATTAGGGATATCCATTCAAAAGTACAAGATCACTTAGGAGGCATTTTTAAAATCTTCGTTTGAATGGAACTTAACTTTAAGGTGGTTTTTGGTTTTTTACTCCCTATTAAGCAAGCACTGGAATTTCACTGAAGGTGGAATTTGCATAATTTGTACTAAGTATGGCAGTATCTTCCACAAGACCTCCTTTTCAGGCACTCCCCAGCTGTCCCCTCCTAGAACCCGGCTCTGCTCTGTCCAGCTTAAAGGCTGCCTCGCCTCCTCCCTGGAGCCTGGCCCACCCGGCCCTCCCACGCTGGCACTGGCACCACAGCGTGACGCACGACGCCCCCTGGCTCCGCCCACCACGCAGACCTCTGCACCTGCTCTTCTCTTGCTGTGGGGGGCAGGGGGGCCCTGAGGCCGCGCAGGGCCCTGGCACACACCAGGCCCTCTGTTACCTGGCACTGAACTCACCGCACACATTCGTCATAGCTGACAGTGTGGGAGGCTTCTGAAAACAAAGCCTGTTTTTCATAGCACTATAAACAGAGCTGTTTTTTAAATAGTAGGTCAGAAGGACGTTACACCTATAATTCTTTTAAAAATAACCCTCCAGGTAGCTTTACTCAGCACTCCATTCAAAGTGAAAGCTGATTTTTTTTTTTTCAGGTTTCGCTCCTATATCATTTTTTTAAAATAAGAGGGACTTAAAATAAAACCCAGATTTTTGGCTTCTTTGAAAACATCCGAAGTCCCACAACACCAGACCCACATTCTGCACTGCAAGTGTAGGGTGCATCCGCTGGGGTGGAGTGATGCGGGCTCCTGCCGCTGCTCCGCCCACGTGTGCACACGTAGGAGGCCTGAGCCCCAAGCCCCCGGAGCCGCTTCCATTGCTACCTGCAGGCGCCTGTGTTTCAGTCGGCTCCGGGGGTCTGGGGACACTGACAAACGACACAACTGGACAGCTGTCTCGCTGCTTGGGGGAAAAGGCAGCACATACCGTGTGGATAGGCGATACAGGAGGCGCAGCCCTTAGCCACAGCGGCAGCTGCCATGAGTCCAAAAAAGTTTGTGGAATTCTTCTCAGTCCCATTTGTAGAGGGGGCTAATGGAGCGTCTTTCAGACACTTCTTCAAACTTTCATAAATAGCAAAACAGATTACAGTTTCTGAGATTCCCGCATACGAGGCAGTTAATCCGCGATAGAAGCCGCGAATGCCCTCCGTCTGGTAAACGTGGCGCGCACACTGGAGCGTGTTCATCTGCTTGGAGCCGCGCACCCTGGTGAAGGAGACGAAGGACAAGTCGTTAGAACACAGGAGCGAGCAGGCGCCTGAAACGATCGCTGAGTGGGAATGAAGCCAGTGGGTGACACGGGTCCTCCGGCTCTGGGGGCAGCAGAGCCCGGCCCTTGCCAGCCCAGGTCCACTAGCTGGGCCACTGGGCCGGCCCACAAATAGTGTGTGTCTGTACAAAAGTCACAAAAACACACTCAGAGCCTCTGACCTGATTTTGGAAAGAGCTATATGGAAGAGGTCATTCATCACAGAGAAAATAGAACTAAATGGATCAAAACCTTGCAAATACCTAAAAATATACCCCGACAAGTAAGCTACGGTACATAAGCCAGATTAAAGTTGTTATGAAGGCAGCAAGACACGGGTAAGTGCCTGAAGTGGAAAGCTGGACAACACGGTACGTAATGCATCATTGCAGTTACGGCAGAAACGTGTTCTAGGAAAACACTGGAGGACAACTCTCCAGCCTATGACAGGGCAGAGGGTGTAAGGGTGCTCTTTCTTATCACTCATCTCCAAGTGGGGTACCCTGACTCCATTACTTCTAACTTCATAAAATCATAAACATTGAACAGACAATACAGCAACTGACCCAAAGCCCCAGGCTGCCTGGCCCCTCCACACCTCGTGACGGGGAGTAGTCAGGGACTGTCTGGACATGAATGGAACCCCGGGACCTGACAGGGCTCACGCTGGTCACAGTCGGCGACCCCCCCACTCCACAGCCTCAACAGGTCTCCCGGCTTCTGCACCGTGTCTCCCCTGGATCATCCTCTGTGCCCCGGCTGCAGTGCCCTCCTAACACAGACCCAGCCTTGCTGCCCCCTGCTTCCCCTCCTGCTCTCACACAGGATTTCTCAGCCTGGGGACCGTGGACACTTGGGCTAGCTGGGGGCTGTCCTGTGCGTGGTGAAATGCTAGCAGCGCCCGTGGCCTCTACCCACTACATGCCAGTAGCGCCCCACCTAACCTGTGACAACTAAAATGCCTCCAGACATTGACAAATGTTCCCTGGGGGGCAAAGTGCCCCTGGGCCGCCCACAGCTGCTTTAATGGCTCTCCACTGGCCTCCAGACAAAGCCTAGGCCCAACTCCAAATTCCTTTCCAAGGCCTGAAGGACCGGCCCCACTCGTTTCTCCAGCCTCACCCTCCACAGGTCCCTCCCGCCTCTCCTGTACGTTTGCTTCCGGTACACTCTGACCGCATGCCCTTCTTCAGCTCCCCAGCATTACAATGCTCTCCTGCCTCCAGATTTTCTGGGCACACAGCTCTCTGCCTGCAACGCTCGTCACCGTTTAGCTCCTTCTCAGATGGCAGCGTGGATGTCGCTGCACAGGAGGGCCCGCTAGCTGCCTCTCTCTGCCCATCCTGCCTTGACGGCATTAGGGACCCCGTAGGGCCTGTGGTACTTAGGCCTCTTATCCCACCAGGCTGTAATTCTCTTTCTTTTCTGTAAAGCTGAGTTTCGGGAAGGCGGGACCTGTGTCTTATTCTGTGCTGTTTCCCTGGTAACTACTGTACAGGAAACACGCAAGAAGTACTCATGGTTGAGGGACACGTTCACAGAGCCCACCCGAACAAAGCTTTAAGGTCTCCTGAGCACGGATCACTGCTCGGCAGGTTGAGAAGAGTGGACATGCGGGATCTCAGCTGACGTGAGCACTCATCCACCGCTGACCAGGAGAGGTGTGAGGACACTGAGCACACCTGGGATCGGGGGTGGTGACCCAAGGTTTCCAGGAAGGGATGCTGGTCAGAAGCTGGAAGGGCAAGCCAGTGTTAGCACAGCCGAGAAGGGAGAAGGGAGTCCTGGTCAGGGATGGCTGACTCAGGCTGTGATCGCGTGAGACCATGTGGTATTTTCTAGGAAACTGCAAATGACCTTGAAGATTAAACCAAGGAATTAGGATCTAATCCTGAGAGTAATGGAGAGTCATTGAAGGATTCTAAGTAAGTGATCTGCTCAAAATGGTTGGACCTGACGCGTTTTAAAAGGTTCTCCCAGGCAGGACGGGCCCCCCCGGGGGGATGCAGATTCAAAGACCAAGGCAGAGGCTGTCGTGGTCACCAGGAACGACAAGCCACAGCTGCCCGCCGCTTGCCCTTCCAGGGCGTTCCCGCTCTGTCCTCTTTCCTTTCTAGGGAGAGTCCCATTAGACTGGGTTCTCTGGAAGTTTCCAGTGCCCCCCACAGGGTCCTTAGAATCTTATCACAAACCTCGCTCACCATTGCCCATTATCTGACATTACAGTAGTCGCGGGGCCACGCCTGACTTGACCCATTGAGGTGGCGTATCAGTACACCATAACTTAAAAACCGTGACTAGCCGGACTCCCGTCATTGGTTGCTGTTGCTCCTCTTCCTCTGAAAGGGGCCTGCAGGCTTCCCTGGGCCGCCAAGGGCGTCTGCAGCCCGAGAGTTCTGGGCAGAAACCCACAGAGAGCCCTGGAGATGACCACGGCCTTCGCTGCTCGGTCCTCCCTGGTACTTTCCCACTGGAAAGAGACGCCACCCGGGGCGGGGTCCACAGCAGCAGCTGGGGTGGGGCCTGCCCAGAGCAGAGACCCCTGATCGTCTGAGGGGCTGGCACTGCAGGCCAGGAGGCCTGCTGGAGCGAACTTTGGTCATTTCTGTTGGTCTCTGTCCCTGATGCTTGAGAGCACAATCTCCAAACACAAGGAGCTGCTACGCGTGCTCACGGTTGGAAAGAACAAGGACCCGTATGCTGTGCTCCGCGGGTGCGGCTGGGGGAAGCCAGCCCAGGAACTCTCATGTTAAGGAAGCAACAATGAATAACTTACTTCCGCTCTAGCTGCATCCGGGTTTTAACCATCCATATAGGATTCATTAAGGAATTTGTGACAAAAGCTGGAAGAAAAAAAAAAACAGCAAATGTCATCATCGAACACAGCCAGCGCTGCCCAAGGTGGTTTGTTCCGTCTGATAAACGCTGACGTCAGGCTTTCAATGGCTGAACGATAAAAATGGAGAGCAGGAGGCAGCAACATCTCTGCGCTGCTGCAGAGAGGCTTCAATACCCTGAAGCGGAACAACTGTGGGTAACAGAAATCTCTCCAGTTCCTAGAGTCCTGCCTGGTGTTCCCAGCCTCTAGGTGGTGCTGTTAATATTCCTGCCAGAGTGATTCCTACGGTAAATGCGAAACCACTTTGAAACACAACTTATAAGCGTCAGGTCCAAAAATAGTTTGTTTTTAAAAGTTCCTGTCCTAATCCAAAAGGTTGTCTTATACCAAACTTAAAATAGAAGGAACTAAATCTCCATTTAACTGAATCCAAACTTAAGACACTTCAATACCTGACTGATCATTTCAGGAAATTGAAGTTTTAAGCCCGGTCGCCTTACTGGAGAACCCCCTTTTCAGTAAGCCTTCCCCACTTTAGTACCGCTAAGCCTTCCAGACCAAGGAGGCACAGCCCAGCACGGTCACTCTTCTTGAACAGCTCATCCCCTGCCCGGTCCTGCAGATCGATCAGACACTGGGAACCTAGGCAGTGGGGCAAAAGCCTCCCTCCAGGTGTGCGTCAGGTGCCAAGGGTTCTACGTGAATTTTGCAAAAGCAGCACAGTCGATGACCAACGCCTAGGGGTCGGCCCCAGCATTAAGACACTGCACTCCTCCTCAGAGCTCTGCTCGCGGCAGCAACACCTTTCTCCTGTCGAAGCAGCTGTTTAACCTTCTTTCCTTTTGGGGTCCAGGAGTTATTTTCGGTAACTATTCAGATGGGTCAGGAGTACTTTTACTTGACGTAAGAGAGACAGAACTGCATACTCTTTACAGGCTGGCAGAAGGCGGAAATTTTTCATAAAATGCCAGTTTAAGCTCTCTAAAATACCTTTCTGGTCAAACCGACATGCACCTTCCATATAAAGACATCGCCTTCTCTCAGCAATGTCCAGGCCGGCATCTTTTGCCAAATGTTTCCTGGGGGAAAATCCTGTTACAAATTTCCTACAGCAGGTGGGGCTGCTCCTTCAAAAGAGGAGCGTGCTCATCTCTGACAGCCCACGGGACCCCAGCCCCCGCCTCGCACCGTGGGTCCCAGTGGTAAGGACCACAGTCCCAAAGGCACACGGGGAGTCACGGAAAAAGCGGTTTGAGTTTCAGAAAATCACAATGAAATAGACATGGAAAACACACTAAAATTACTTTACAGGAAACATTACACCAAGGACTTACATGCATGGAGCATGGACATTTTAAGGAAAATTAAAAGCTTTAGTGATCAAAGAAATAGGAACCAAGGTACAAACTATCTTAAACACTCACATTTAACCAATTCTAACATTAAGCTTCGGAGACATGATTTTAGATGCAAAGGATGCCGAGAGCTCATCCCTAGCCCCCGGAAAAGGCTGCCGGGCACAAGGCCCGTGCTGGGAAGGCGGGCAGCCCTCTCCACCCGCGGGGCAACGTACCTGCAGAACCAGCTGAGAAAATGTGCACAGTATTGCTGTTGGGCACGAAAATGCCGTTGAACTGCTCTTTGGCTTTGGAGTAACAGGCAAAGTACACAGCCCTGGGAGAACAAAGAGAGAAGCTATAAAGACATCAGTACGGCCCTACCAATACCCCCGTTCCTCCGCAGCTTCTGAAAAGTTCAGGAAAATAAAACGGGCAAGAAGCTAACATCTAACCAGAAGCCTGACCGTGTCTGCGCTCATGCCCACCCCCTGAAGGCGCCAATGGAAGGCCCTGCCCGCCCTCCAGCGTTCAGCGATGACCGACGTATCCAAGTTAATCGAGGAAAGTGAGATTTTTATGATAAAGTTCATTTACGTTCTTCATTCGGGATAAATGCCAATCCTTTGAGCACCGACATATACTGTTACTTTGAAAATTACTAAAATACACATTTAGAATATTTCTAAAGTACACATTTGTCCTGTGGTAATCTGAATGTCTTTCGGGTGACTGAGGATCACACAGGAGAGCTACCATTCTGGGAGCACGAAGAGCTCCCCCCACCGAACATGCCCCCCACCCCCAAAGGCAGCTCTGGTAGGTGATGGCCAGCCTCCCCCATGGCTCCCTTGTGTTCTCTTCCCTGTCTGTTCTTCCCCCCGCTTGTCTCCTCTCTTGTGGGGTTGGGGGAGTGCCTGGCTGGGATTTCCCCGGCTCTTTCACCAGCAACGCCAGGGGAAATGCTTCTTATGTTTCCAGCTGGTCAATGGATTATATATTTTTCAACTTAGGATCCTGACTACTTATCATTACTGTTATTCAACAGCCTCCTGTTTTTTCTCTAGGTCCCAACTGTGGCACATGGGTGTGGCAGCAGGGCTCTCCAGCAGATGAACAGAGGTCAGTACTGTCCGCAGGCAGACAGGACAGGGCTTCATTTTCTTTACTGACTACTTACATGTCATGTATGCTCACCATCAATTAATAATCTCATAGACTAGTACTTTCTATTGCTTATTTTATTATTACTTTTAATCCTCACCCAAAGACACATTTACTGATTTCAGAGAGACTGGGAGAGACACACACCGATAGGCTGCCTACTGCACGCGCCCCGACCGGGGACGGAACCCACGCCCACTGGTGCACAGGACGACGCTCCAACCACCTGGGCCACCTGGCTGGGGCTAGTACTTTCTATTTTTTAAATAGATTCTACACACATGCTACGAAGTTCTAAGGAACAAAAGGGTTTAATAAGAACCTCCATTAATGATTTGCATATCAACAAACCATTCCTGCAATCTGTATATAAACTGGAGCCTTGATCTGCAAGAATTTTGGAAGCTTTTCATCTTCACCTTCTAAGACAACACTCTCATTTTTGTTGTAAAGATTAATTCTCCTTAAACTCTAATCAAGTATCCCACGGAGTACGTGTGCCACCCCTGTCACCCAGCGTCCCTCCCAGGAGGCAACTTCTGGAAGCAGCTTCCCCTCTGCTTTTCAGTGCGTGAGATGACGACACACGCTCCCCCTCACCTGGTCACTGCCGGCCCCGCGCGGCCCGCCCCCAATATCGGCACTGCCCACAGACCCCTGCGCAGGTGGAAATGACGCGCACCTGTGATCTCTGGCGCGGGAGCCGCTGGCTGCGTGTGACTGTTAGGGATGTGAAACATGCTAGTGAGACCGAGGAGCTGGATTTTTAATTTTAACTAATTTGAAGAGTCCATGTGGCCAGTGGCTATTGTATCTGGACGGTGCAGACTAAAGAGAATTAGGCCTTGCAACAAAAATGAGGATGTTGTTTCATATAAAGCAAAGCCCAGAAGCCGCTACAATTCCTTCCAATCAGGGCTTCCAGGTGCAGGCGGATGACCGGGGGCCACGGTGGAGGCAGGTGCTGACGGCGGTCCGGGGCGGGTCCGGGGCGGGTCCGCGGGCGTACGGAGAGCGCCCCGCTGAGCTCTGGTAATATGCCATGTCCCTTTACAGTCCTCAGTCTGGATGAATGCCAATCCTTAGAGCACCAATATACACTGTAACTTTTTAATTTGTAGTATTTCTACGATACACTGCACTTGTCCTGCCTTCCGCCAAAATGAGTTGTGTGTAACCGGGATGGGGGGCCACGCTGTTGACCGCGCACCATACTTACTTAGAGAAGATCCAGGGATGAGAGAGAAGATCCAGGGATGTTCAACTTAACAAAAAACCAGAATCTCTTTCTCGCACATGCACTAAAGACACACCGACAGCCCCACTGCTTCCATTGGTCAGATTATTTAGGCGAACCCTGCACAGAAGGAACTGGCCAGGAAGCAGCATGGCCTGTGCGCAGGCAAGGACTCAGTGTGCAGCACACGTGGGCGGGGACGCAGCCGGAAGCTCAAAGCTTACCTTGACGGTGCGACTCCAACCAAATTTGGACCCAAGCCTCTAAACAGTGACTTTGGTCCCTCCTTCTCCAAGATCGACCTGAGTGATAAAAAAAAGATTCATCTGTAAAACCCTTAGGCAAGGGCCCTGCATCACAGCTGCCAGCCCCACCTTCAGGTCCGTGACCAGAGGAGGAACAGACTGTTCACAAGACCCCAGGCCCCCGGTGTCGGCATTGCGGTACAGGGTCGAGGGCTGGCGAACTGGCTGCTGTACCGCGTGCAAAAGCGGCCTCAGAGGCAGCCGTGTCTGACGCGCGTGGCGGCACTCAGGTGGTAGCCCTGGCAAAGTCTGACACAGGGAACTGTCCTCAGTGTGACAAACGGGCTCAGAGGCTTCTTGGGATGGCACTACTTTGGGACTGACTCCTGTTTATAATAACCCCATCTCTAGGTTTTTACCTGTTGTAGGAGAGCCCTGAACAGGGACGTAAGGAATAGAAAAACCTAATCATTTTCATGGGCTGGATGGATGTTATTGAAAGCCAAAGCCTAGTATCTCAAATTCAAAGAGAATACTGTGTATTCTTTCAATTTTTATTATGGTAACATATGTGTAATAATTTTTACCCTGTTAACCATTTTTAAGTGTACAGTTCAGTGCATTCCTTGTTGTGCGGCCGCCGCTGCCATCCGTCTCATCTTTCTCATCTTCTCAAACTGAAATTCCGTACCCATGGAAACCTAAGGCCCTCCGCGCCCGCCCCTGCCAGCCCTGGGCATCCACCGCCCTGTCTGTCTCTGATCTGACTGCTCTCGGGACCTCCTACGAACGCAAGGACACAGGAGTTGTCCTCTTGTGACTGGCACATTTCATGTCGCATCATGTCTCAAGGTCCATCCACGTTGTAGCACGTGCCAGAATTTCCTTCTTTTTAGAGGCTGAATAACATTCCCTTGAGTGGATGGACCACAGCTCGTCCATCCATTTACCTGTCAGTGGACACTTGGGTAGGTTCCACCTTCTGGCCACTGTGACTAATGCTGACGTGAACATGAGCGTCCAAATATCTGCTTAAGTTCCTACTTTCAGTTCTTCTAGGTGAATACCCAGCGGTGGAATTGCTGGATCACATGGTAACTCCAGGTTTAAGTTTTTGAGAATCTGCCATACTATCCACCACAGCGGCCACACCATTTTACAGTCCTACCAGCACCACAAGGTTCCGATTTTTCCATGCCCCTGCCGACATGCTTTAAAAAACAAAACTGCTAAACTTAGTTTCTAAAAAGTGACTAACAATATCCTAAAAGGACCGTATAGAACATTCTTTAGAGGCATTTTTCCAGTCCAATATAATAATTCTTCAGGTTGGTTAAACTTCTTCTTTTCAACGGTTCAATTTTCGTGGTATCCGAGAAAATTCACTTTGTTAAACTAGGGTTCTAATTCAACCTCCTTTTCTTCCTAAGGATTTTCTTCACTTAGTAATTAGTACGTCCAATCTGAAGCATTCTAACTTAGGTAAGTTCAAGAATAATAATCGCATTGTTTTCAAAACAGTTTATGCAATGTTTTACCTTCATTATGACATTGAAGGTAAAATAAAAACATATCTTTCACTTCATGGAAAAGATATTCCTACAAAAGTAAAAGTAAAGTGAATCCTGCCAATTCTGTTTCTATTTCTACCAATGTCTACTTTTTTTTTTAACCCTGACCCGAGGACATGCCCACCGATTTTTAGAGGGAGGGGAAGGGTGCAAGGGAGAAACGCTCCCTTCCAGGTGAAAGTGAAAGAAACCAGGCGCGAGAGGCCATAAACACATCTCACGACTTCGTGTCTATGAAAAGTCCAGGAGACAAATCTATAGTGACAGGAAGCAGATTAGTGGTCAGTGGCCACGGGCTGGGACTTGGGGGTAGGGGGGATGGGAGGAAAAACACACAATAGTTAACTGTCTGCTTTAAATGGGTAACTGTATGTGAATTTTATCTTAATAAGCTGTTTAAGAACCACCACCACCACCCCCGACAGGGAGGAAAGAAGGGCTTGCTGAAAAAGATTGAGAGAGCGGAAGAGATCGGCAGAAACAGAGTTTAAAACAAAATTTAGTCCTTGTGCTAAATCAGTAAGTTACAACAGATAAATGAGAAAACTGAATAGGGGCTGTAGTTGAGTTAAAAAGTAGTAATTCAATATTAAATTCCTTGAGTTTGAAAACTGTGCTGTGGTTTTAAGAGAATATTGTTCTTGGGGAATAAATGCTGAAGAATGAAGGGTGAAGGGGCATAATATGCAACCCATTTAAAAAATGGTTCAGGAAAAGTATGGACATATACAGAACAAAAGTGAAAAAGCAAACGTGGCAATGTGTTAAAAAAAATTAATGACTTGAGGTAAAAAGTATAAGCAAGTTATTTGTACTGTTTCTGTAACTTTTCCGTAAGTTTGGAGTTATTTCAGAATAAAAAGTCCTTTTAGAAACGCCCTGGCTGGTGTGGCTTAGTGAATCGAGTGCCAGCCTGCGAACCAAAGGGTTGCTGGTTCAATTCCCCATCAGGGCATGTTTGGGTTGCAGGCCAGGTTCTCAGCAGAGGGTTCCCAGTAGGGGGCATGTGAGAGGCAACCACACATTGATGTTTCCTCCCTCTCTCCCTCCCTTCCCCTCTATAAAATTAAATAAATAAAATCTTAAAAAAAAAAAAAAAAAGCTATCTGCTATAGGTTGTAAAAATATTGACCTCATGATGATAACCTAAAAGTTACGGGAGCAAGGCCTGGGGTAAAGATGATCCTTGAGTTTCTGTGAGTCTAACATGCCAAATGAAGTTCATGGAGTCCCGGTGAATTTTCCCACTAGCCAAAAACAAGTCATTTGGCCTTTCACATAGGCGTGGGCATTTAGTGTTTTCAACTTTCGACACTTAACTTTTTCTTACCACAGGACTGAGCGTTTAGAAAGTCAAGCTCTCTGAACCAAAACTTTCTTGAATAATGCCTTGAAGTGACCTGCACCTTCCAGTTTGTAAAAGATTCTCAAATGGTCAGTATATTCAAAATGTCTGACGCTGAGATTGCATCTGTGGCTGCGGTAAACAGACAGGAGTCATGTAAACACAGCCAAGGCCTCCCCGGCTCCGGGAAGCCGGGAAGCCGGCAGCTCCTCATCTATAATGCAGCAGGGAGTGCGTCCTCTGGTGACTCCAGCCTCCTCCGAACTGCAGATGGGCCGTCTCCATAGTGACGCATACTAACAGTGGGCAAAAAGTCAGCTCTGTTACATAACTCAAACTTCTAACCTTGCTGGATGTGTACAGAACTTTTCTGGAACAATCAAGGTCCTGCTATAAATGGTACACTTCAGCCTGAAAACAAAGCATGTTAGGATCCAGACTAATTTTACCAGAGCCTTAGACACTTCCATTTAGGAAAAAAATGCAGAAGGGAACTAGGGTCTTATTTGGAGTGTTTCATCTTCCCTGGTTTTAGATCATGATCCAGGACAAAGGTCTCATCTGAACACACAAGTTTAATTTTTATGAGATAAAGACTAGATCACTAATATATTACTTTTCAGATTAAAAAGGCACCTGAAAAAAAAATATCTGAGTGAAGAATAGGAGGAGCTCTGATTTAAGAGAAAAAAAGATTAAAACATTAAGACTTTTTAAAGCAGATTACCTGAAAGGAATTGATATATTATTCCTCTTTGGCAAATTTAACAGTGAGAGCGCCTTTTCAAGTAAGCATATTAAACATATAAAGGTTATTGGTGGTAACAGGTTACCCTAGACACAAGCAAACACTGATTTGCATTTTGAAAAGTAAATTTCCTGTAAACCAATCCTGCTGTCTGTGAAGTCTTTTAAAGCAGCACTTCCTGAAAGAGGAAGACTGACCGACGCCCCTGCCCTGGCTCAGGGTGGCTGCCGGGAGAACCCGAGAGCAGCCCGGTGACCTAGGGGCTGGGGCGAGGCGACTTCGACCAGCGCGGTGGCAGAGGGACAAGCGGCCATCTCCTCCCGAAGGGCCCTAAGAGACCGTGCTGCATATGCCGCCACCCTGTCCGCACGCATGTCTGAGTGACAGGCCCCTCTTCGGAGCCATCAGCAGGAAGACCGGCATTTTCCCTGAGGAGCGCGCGTGCTCTCTGTAGAAGAGCACTGTGTGATACGATACTCCCCTTTTTGCCTTGGCTACAAAGCAGCTCAGTTATAAATCTTGTATTTAACCAGTGCAGGACGTGTATATTATGATGGTGGCCAAAACGTCTTATTTACATGGCTGGGTGTAAATTAAACTCTTTATATGTCATATTTTACTGATGTGCCAAAATTCACTCATTCATTCAATTTGTACTGAATGCTTGCTAGGTGACAGGCCCCATTCTCAGTGGTTGGGGACACCTCGGTGGTCAAAACAAATCAAAGTCTCTGCCTCCAAGGAACCTCCTTTCTGGTGGGGGCACAGAGAGAAAACAACCAACACGAACGAGTAAGCTGTCCTCTGTGTTGGACGGAGGTGAGCTCTGGGGGTAAAAATAAGGCAGGAAAGAGGGACGGGCCGTGCGAGGAGGCTGTTTTAAATAGCACGGTCCCTGCAAGGCATCCCTGCAAAGGTGACGACAGGGTCACGCAGATAACGTCCAGTGCCCGGGCCCTGGGGCAGGACGTGCCAGTGTTCCTGACCTTTTAAAGGGACAGCTGAAGCGGTGCGGGAGGGGCACCATCAAAGAAGTAATGGGAGGGGCGGCAGCTGTGTGGGGACTGGCTGGGGAGGGGCAGGAGAGGGTCGTCCCTGGAGGCACCAGAGCGCGGATCTCGGCTCTCGGCTGACAACAGACGAGGCTGAGAAGAGGGCAGGTCTCAGGCCAGACCAAGTGGGAGCTTGTGCAGCAATGCAGGTGGGGACCCGGTGGCTCCCATCAGGACAGCGGTGGAGAAAGCAGAGAAAAGCAGTCACAGGCAGTGCAAGCTCTGAAGGCAGAGCAGACAGAATCCACGGTGCGGGCGTGAGAGACAAGATTCAAGGGCGACTGAGGCCCTGGCTCTGCAGAGCGGGCGGGCGGAGCCGCCGGGGGCAGCGGGGCTGGGGAGCTCAGTCTGCACCAGTGACACTTCGGGCACCCAGCACACGCCTGCTAGATGTCACAGAAGCCGCTGGATGGGTCTGGGCCCTGGGCCTCCAACAAGAGGTTGTCGAGCTGGGGCCGCGGAGAAGGAGAGAAGCCCCCGCCAGCAGGCGCGTGAGGGCCCGGGAGCCGGAGACAGAGCCCCCGGCTCCAGCAAAGGCAGCTCGCGAGGCTACTGCTGTCAAATTTTTCTTTGAAAGAGGTAAATGCACATTAAAAATGGCCTCAGGTAAGTCATTTAACTCCAATTTGCGGCTCCTCATGTATAAAGTGGGGTCACAGCAAGCCTGACTGCTGATCTCACAGGGCTGGTGTGAAAAATTAATGACATAATGCTACATAAATGCAACGATTTTTAAATTCAAAGCTATTAAATATCAGCTGAGAATCTTAATAATGTATATATATTGAGCTACAGAAATAAAGCTTTAATAAAATAGCTCTTGGGTGAGAAATGACATTTTACAAACACTTTTCTAACAAAATAGCATTATAACAAGATTTTTACCTAACATTCCATTATTTCTATTTTGATGTGAACACAGACTAAGGGGTTTTAACAAGCATTCACGCGGAAGTGGCATCTCATTACTGCATGGCTGTGGCTGCTGCGGGCCCTTTACGGGATTTTAAATGACAGAGATGCTTTTTTCTTTGATTTACATGGTAAGAAACAATGGTCCTAATTGGGGAGAAAAAAGCACATGGAGAGAGATTTATTGGAGCTGGAGAGATACCCGGGATGGAGACCACGTAACCTCAAGCACGCGACCCACAGAAACAGGCTCGTTTACTTCCTTCTGGCCTTCGGGCAACAGCGGCCCAGTCAGAGCGAATCTCTGAGCCCACCGGCCACGAGTTATTTGCGAAGCACAGGAGAAGTTCATCTTGGATGTTACACAAGTTGGCAAATTCCCTGTCCATTTTTTTAATGTCCCAAGCACCTGATCTTCCTCAGAAGAAAGGTGTCATTTGAGACACTGCCACTGCCCGAGCCGTCTCAGGGTGTAACTTGAAAAGCGGACTCCCCTGGGGTCCAGCCGCCTTTCTCTGGCGGGGCTTCTGAGTCTCTCACTCGGGACCTTGCCCCCAGCGGCTACTCCTGCGCCCAGTTTTGCTCAGTAAGCTTGCATGCCCCCGCACCCACAGGTTTGGCGTGGGTGCTGGGGTGCCTTGTGTGCAGGCTTTACAAACAAAACCTAAAAATAAGCTCAGTGCTTTCCACCTCATCCTCCCTTATCTGAAACGCAGCTGAACTCTGTCCAAAGTGCTGCGTTAAGGGGGTTCTTCAGACAGGGCATTCCCACTTCACTGTACCTTTTTCTAACATTTCCCAGTCGAACAACTACTCTGATAAACAGCAATGTCTGGAACACACCCCCTTCCTGTGGCAGGTTTCAGAGACCGACTGTCAGGTGTAATTAAATTCAACTGCTGCTCGCTGAACGGCTCTTTTAAAGTGCAAGGGCCTAAGGTAAAATTCAGATGTCGTCATGAGCTCTTCTGAATTTCTGATTTTGCCTTAAGCATAGATACTGATAAGTCAAATTCAATTTAAAGATATTCAGCTACTTCATTAAGTGAAAGAGACATTTTTAATGCAGTAAAAATAGAAAACTAGGTTGGTAGCTTACATAGGAAACAAAAATTTTAAAAACCATTTTATACTAAGTATATATTGAAACTTTTCTATAAATGTAAAAATCATTTCCAAATAAAAAGTAAAAAATTAAAACATTTGGTTTCTAGTTTACTTCCTTTTGAGATGCTCAAAACCCTTCTCTTGTGAACTTTAACATTTTTCATTTCATTCTACCACCCCCCAGCTTCCTGCTAGGCCTCAAAAGGTTCTGGGCAAGAGCACTTTGATGAAACAACCGACACCCCAATTTCTGGTTTGCTTTGCTAGGGTTAACCGTCCCTGGACGGCGACCACATGCACACTGTGTGACCTGCTGCCAAGGAGGCGAGGTCAGAGTTCAAAGGTATTGGTCCAGAAACCTAATTCTTCCGTTTGAACAAAGGCTGTGCAAACAGAACGTCCCATCTGATGGGCTTAATAAACATTCTGGGTCGAGAGTAGGGGCAGGGGGTCTGGCAGGAGTCCAGAGTGGGGACTGGACTTACTTCAGAACCTGTAAAAGTCCAGGCGTCACTGACGTTGGTCTCACCATTCCAGCTCCACTGATGGTCCCCAGCTGAACCTGTGGATAATAGACGGTACGCAGAGCTAACCGCGAAGACTGCAGCCTTGTCTTGATGACTTCTAGGGGACACGTGAAAATAGCACCAACTGTGCCCCCGCACCTGCAGGAAAAGAAATCACAGCAGGGTCAGAAAGCCCCCGCTCCCTCTCAGCAGAAATGAAACGTGCAATGTAACTTTTCTTTATTTTAAAAAAAAGAGAACCTAGGTTCACTTCATAATTAGAACATACAGGGAAGTAAAGATATATACACACATACATATACGTGTGTGTGTGTGTGTGTGTGTGTGTGTGTGTGTGTATTTGAGATCCCAGCAGCTAAAGAAATAACCATTGCTGACATGTCAGCACATCCCTTAGGGCTTTTCATGGCTGCCTTTTTAATCTCATTTTTTTCTCAGTTATCTAGACATTGGGACTGTCCATATAGACACTTACATCATTTGTAATGGTTGTGTGCTGTTCCTCTGTGTCGATGTGTAATGTTTTAACCAATTTCTTACCATTACAGTCATGCCAATTCCCATTTCATCACCATGTTGCAACGACTATTCTAGAAAAGGCATCGTTTCACAGCCAAACCAAATAGTTATTTGGGTAATGCTACTATTTGAAAATCAATGTTTACTGCAACAGACTTTTACTAAAATCTAATTAATTTGGACTCCACTGAAAGTTAAACCAAAGCTTGCTTTCAATGACAAAAAGTTATCCTCTGTGTTTTTAGCAGTCACACTGTCTCTCTGAGTCAGGCTTCCGCTTGATAATTTTTTTTTTGTATCAAAATATTACCTGAATTAAAAACTTAGGTATATTTTCTTTAAGACAACTCTCCTTCCAGCTCTTCTTGAACAATGACACCCACGAACCATGTGCTTGACTGGCTGGTGATAATTCAGTGTCATGTACCATCCAAAGCCACCCCCCCCCCCCCCCCCCCCAGTGACATGGGCTCCACTCTTGGGGAGCACGGAGGCGGCCCAGGACCTGCGTCTTAGCATCTCTGTATCCCCAGCATCGGGACCCCCAAGTTTACAAACAGTATTTGCTAAGCAAAGGAATTATTCAATCGAGGTTTCAAGGACAGGGTCTTTTAAGGGACCTGAATGTTTGAAGACAGCACTTACACTCCGCCTGCTATCACAGGTGACTGTCCCGGGGCACTTAGCTAGGGCTCAGTAGTACCTGACACACAACAGGTGGCTCACTGAAAATGACACAGCACTGGTACCTGTGGTCGGGAAAGTCACGGCAGGAGGCAAGGCAGGCCTGGCCCACAGAATGTTAAGTGAGCTTCCCGCCTCCCCCCGACGCGGGCAGCGCTGTGAAGTCAGAAGCCTGTGGTCCTAAAGAGCAAGTCAAATCCTGGTAATTAAGTGCTGGAAGCTATCGGTTTAATACCAGTATTCCCACCGCTGATGGAATGGTTATCTCATGACAAGCATCCGATCCTCCAACAAGCCTACAAGGCAGGAACTATTGTGTAGCCTCAATTCACCCCAAGGAATCTAAATGTCAGAAAGAGAATGAAATGTACAGATTAAGGGGCGGATTTGGGAAGGAAAATAGGCATTTTGGGCTATTTAGGCAAACCTGCTCTAAAATCATGGCGATAATACACCCTAAATTAAGCTGAACTGGGGGCCTAAGCCCAGCAACCACAAAAGCAAGGCGGGGGAGCAGTCAGGCCGGCGGGAGGCCGCGGGAAGGCCCTGGGGCAGGACACAGCCGCCTTTACCTCCCAGGGCCGCAGGGCGGCATTACCCTTACTTTACAGCCGGGGACCCTGGGCCTCAATGCGGCCATACACTTTCTCAAAGTCACAAAGCAGCTAAGTGTCTAACCTGCAACCCAAATCCAGACCCTCTGTCTCCCAAGCCTGCACCCGTCCCACTGTGCTCAGGTACCCCCTCGGGAACATTAAGAAAGGTGGCTTTGTTGGCCAATTTACACTATTTTCACTCATAGTCAAAATGGAAAATTGTTGCTCAGACAAGCAGGACTTTAAACCTCTAATGTATCCTTTTGTATCAAGAAAAAATTGTGAGCTGAACTCAATGCTGTTCTATATAATTGGCTCTAAGCCCCGGAATGTCGTTAAAGCCAACAGGATGTAACGGGGAGTGTTTAAAAAAGAGGTAAAAGAATAACTTCCTAACCACGTCTATTCACACAAAATAATTACTCTTATCTATTACCATCCTCAAGTGTGTATTTTAAAAAAGCAGATTTTAAAGCACTGGAAGACTTCCATGCTACAGAATTAGATAAAGAAATAGCTGAAATATATTTATGTTCAACAACAAGGTTCCATATGATTGAAAAGAAAACAGAGCTTCTGGGTAAATTCTTTCATCAGAAAGTCAACAAATTCGAATACGACACAGGTCAGCCAACCTCTGCTTTGTCCCCAAGTCAGCTGCGCGCCTTATCTGGCCAACTGTCATCCAAATCTATGCCACTGATCAAAGGGTGGCCTTGAGGACAGTGTGTTTACCTAACAAGGCAAATGTCCAACTATCAATGAGCTGGTGGACTCTTTGAGGATGACAGGCCACACTCACTTTTGCAGTCACAGTTACCTGCTGCACACTGTGCCCAGGGCAGAAGGGGCAGTGGCGGCGAACGGGCCCTGCCCGGCCTTCCAGACCACCTACCTCGGGGGGAAAGTAAGGCCTTACGAACAATGCTGCTCCTCAGAAGTTAAGTTCCCCCTTATTTCCTAGGAAAAAACTCTTAGATGACAAAAAATGCCCAGAGGATAGTCTAAATAACTGAGCTGCACTGGATACGCATTCACTACAATACACTTATTAGAAGAAAACAATTTCTGATATTAAACTGAAATTCAGAGGAGAAGACTGCAAAGAGCCCATATGGGAGCCTGCCAATCAGTGTTTCTCTCTCTCTAAAACTCAATAAGCTTATTAGGAAAAAAAAGAGAAAAGACAACTGGCTTTCCAAATATTTCTGCAAATAATTCATCATGTTGGGTCCAGAGCACTTAATAGAACAACAAATTATTTCCTTGTAGAAGAACTCCTGTTATCTGTTAACTGTTTGATACAAAGAAGCCCTTCCATGCCAGCCCGGCTCCTACCCTTGGTCAAGTAGCTCGGAGGAAGCCCCAGCCAACAGGACACTGCGGCAGTTATGACCAGGGCTGTTCCCGGCTCAGGGCTCAGGTCCGAGGGGGGAGACCTCAGCCCTGAGGGCCGACCCCCCACCCCCAACGCGGATTACCCCTCCCCACCAACGAACCACAGGCGGGTTCCATGACTTCCTGGTCACTTTCAGCTTTTCAAATTCAATCACATCTAAGACTTCAATCTCAAATCTGACTCAAAACCACGGCCAGCTAGACACGTGGCTGGAGGAGACATGGTTCGCTCTTCCTCCTCTTCTTCCCTGCCTTCAGGGCGCTTGGGCGTGAGGACAGGGAGAAGCGAGTGGTCTTCTGCCAGGGGTCTGAGTTTGGCTGTGGGGTCCCCCGGCTGTGTGTTGTATCGGTGGCCGCAGCCAATACCACGATTTCACTACAGATGGCATGGAACCGCACCAAGAGCCCCTGCGCCGGGGTCCCCAGACTGGCCCCACCAGGAGCCCCCTGCCAATCTCCTTCAGCTTTACCTGGTCTGGAAACCCCGTAAGCAGTGCCAGGCGCCTCCCTTTTCTTCCTCTGGTTCCTGTGCTCCTCGACACCAAGCCAGGGGGGCCCACTAGTGTCCTTCCATGTCCACCATGAGGCGACAAGGCTGATGCCAGGTAGGAAGTCGCCTGCGTCCTTCTCATCCTGCTGGCCAGGAACGTCCCACTTGCGGCCTCTGGAGCCTCTGGCCGCAGAGCAGGTGGCCCCGTCTCTCGGCCTCACAGCTCCCTCAGTGTGCGGAGCCCAGGCCGCTAGGGGCTGGGAACAGGGAAGGACACTGTGCCAGGGAAAGCCTCTCTCAGCACCCCACATGCCATCCTGTTGACAACGGTAACCTTCCTGCTCTGCATGTGCAGTCTGCGGTGGGACGGCTGGCGGCGGTCGGACTTTGCCCCCTTTCTACCTCTAGCGTGGAGGCTCCGCTGGGTTCGGCTCAGGCCCTGGCAGCCAATGTGCAGCCCGCAGGAAAAGTCGCGTTCAACACCCAGTTACACGGTGACACAGTGTTGGCATCAGTAAACAGGCTGATTCTGATGAGATACCGATGTTTTAGACCACTAATATCCCAGGTGGGGGACATGCTTTAAGAGATGCACATAATGATCCACAGACATGAAGGAAGAAAACAGTACAGAAAGAAATACATTTTCACTATCTTAATCATTAGAATCTCTACCATTTAAGTTCTATTTTGTGTATATATTTTCTAATATGTATAAGGTTGATAGAGTAATATAAATACATGCGGATACGCACAAACATTTTAACCGTAGGGCTGGGCAATCAAAGTATGAAGACCCCTGTTCTAGACCAGTAGTGCTCCACCAGGACAACTTTACCCCCGCCCGGGATGTCTGACAATGTCTGGAGACCTTTCGGGTTGTTGACACTAGGGCGGAGGTATTAGCATCTAGTGGGTAGCACGGAGGCTGCCGAGTACCCTACAGTCCACGGGACAGCCCTGTCCCATGCCAAGCAAACAGTCGTCTGGCCGAGGTCAAGAAGCCCTCTCCTAGGGCAACAGGATGGACAACGTATTTGAAGGCAGTATAACCTATGTGAGGCCACCACTGCTCATCTTCCCAGCATCCATCCCCTCTTCCTGCCTTAACAAGATCCCAGATCTCTTACGCCACACAGCTTGGACAGGGTGGAACCCATGTCTAGGTACTGCCCTGACTCAGATGGGCACATGACTGAGCCCAAGCAGCACAGAGCTGAGAGCAATGCCCGGTTTAGAGATGGGTGGGTGCCCAGGTTGGTCCAATCAGAGTTACGCTCCAGGCTTGTTCAATGGCGGAGAAACTCCAGGAGCTGCTGTGAGCCGTGTCATGTTCACGTAGGGACCAACCCTGGAATCCAGCTGGTAGTTCTAGGAGGGGGCGCAGTCCTTGACCTCCCACAGTGACGCTGTTGAGCTATTCGGATAGGTCCTGACTGAAGCCTCGGTCTCCCTAGAATTCCCGTGTACCTGCCGATAACCAGGCAAGGGGGAACCGAACCTCCTGAACGAGCCCCGTCCAGAAGGCCTTATACCCAGGCTTCGCACACACGTACACACGCACGCACGCACACACTCCAGGGGCTTCACTCACCAACAACCCTCCAAGGAGCAGCCAGGACTAGGGTTTTTCGCAGGCTGGGTTTCTAACAGCTCTCAGGAAATATCCTGGATGTTCATTTAATTTGCCTCTAAGGTAACACTGCTCCAGCCGCTGCCATCACGTCCACAGGAAATTCCCTGGGCTCTTCCATGCGGCAGAGCCATCAGCAGGGCTGGGCGAGGCACAGGGGTGGGAAGGCGGCAGAAGCGCCCGTCCCTCGGTGCAGCGGTCACAGCAGGGGGCTCCTCCCGGTAAACCTGCTCGCCTGATTTTCTACATCTGTCACCTAGATTTGTCTGTGCCCTTCCCCTGTTGCTACTTGTTTCTTCTTCTATAATAACATCCCTCCTCCCATTCGCTCAGTCTTCCTGCCCAGAACTGAAGTCTTGTGTTTATTACGTACTTACTTAACCATTTATCTTTTTACCCACAGGACTGGTTTGTTTTTTTCCCCTGGAGATTAGGCTCTTCTCTGCCAGTTTATAGCAGGACAAAGCTCTGTCCTACACTAGTACCTGTCTACATACAATTTTCTGGCATAAGGTTTAGAAGATTTTGATTATGCAAATTCTGTATTCACGCAATCAAAGCAAAATGCATCCTTTTGGGAATACATTAAAAACACCATACTAGTTTTTGAACCTGAAGAGAATCAGTTTCTTTCACAAATACACAAATTCAAAATAATGCTATCTTATGCCAATACAGTTTCAGCAAATCTTAATATAGACTCATGTTCATAATTCACAAATAATCAAAGTACTGCTACTATTAACTTGGGACAATTCAACAAGCCACATCAATCTGCACTTCCAGGCATGGCACACAATACCTTTTGTTCACTTAGTTGATTATTGAACAAGTGCTGGTTCAGTCTCTGTAACGGGTGGGGTTCTGTACTTGGGATGTACCAGTAAAGAAAACAGACAGGGCTGCTATCCCCACGAAGCTTATATTCCAGCAGGAATCTTTTATCCAAACCCCATACAGTTTTTAAAAGTGTTTGTTTTATATATATATATATACACATATATATATACACACATACATATACATATATATACTGGATAAGATCAATTTATAGTCTTGGTATACTAATATAAGCCATATATAAAATATTACATGCACATTATGTCTGTCTTATCAAAATTTCTTCAAGCACTTGAAATGTCTTGCATCTTCCCTACATTGTTCTCTAGCAAGTATATTAACACATGCCTAACACTTCAAAAGTAACCATTACCAAATACAGGTCAAACTTGCAGGGGAAAGCAAGAAGGCAGTACAAGAGTACACCAGGTGACAGCCGCCCGCAATGGGGGAAAAACTGAATTTTGAAAATATCTTGGATTACATATTTTGAAACCTTAAAGACATGTCATATTCCCATTAAGATGGGTATTAAGAACTGTATTAGTATATTTGATGACCGAAGGAAAAACCATGTCATAAAAATAAAACCTGAAGCATATAATCCAGGCTATTAACCTCTCTGCACATCTAATGGCAGCTTAGTCTATTTCAGGTGCCGAGGACGTCCCCTAGGTCGCACCCTGCGATGCCACTGCTTGCTCAGCAGGGGAAGGACGTCGCTAACGCTGCATGGACAACCGGGGCCCCCAGGTTGCTGGGCAAGGAAAACGTAAGGGATTTTTCTTAACAGACATAAGGCCTAGACAGAGAAGGGCCACTTCAGAAGATGAGCTGGTTTAAACAGCAGAGAAGGAATGACAGGTTTTGCTATGGAGTAACAATCAAATCCGTGTGAGCACATTTTGTGTTTAGACCACAGTACCCAGATTTTCAGACAGGAGAAAAGAAAGCAGAAAGCAGCAAGGAAGTCACCCACCCTAAGAGATGGTTTATGAACGTGCTGGTAGGTGCCAAAAGCCTTAAAAGTGTGTTCTAACTCAGCAATTGTACTTCTAAGGGTTTATCCTAAGAAAATGATGACAGAACTACACATACACATAAGGATGCCCAGTTGTTTATATTGGCTAAAAAATAGCAATGAGAGATTGGAAATTATGCAATCAGAGCAAGTTAAGTGACCCTGTCCTAAGTTACTGTGGGACCCTCACTGACCCCCGAGTCCTGGGCTTGGAAACTGCCGCCCTTCACTGCCACCACCGCATGGGAAGGCTCCGTTAAAGGCACACGCGGGGAGCTTACCGCCTGCCATGCTGCCACTAAAATGCAACAGAGCACGAGGAAGAAAGCATTCTTTAAAACATGAGCCTACTTTAGAATTAACTACAGAATTACACCTGGTACACATATATGTCCACAGAGCCTTTTTCTAAAGTGCTCATTTCTAGGTATTGGTTCATGGGTGGCTTTTCTTTCAGTTTTCTGCTTTCTTAAAGGGAAACACTAACACTGCATTAAAAAGGTGACTTAGAGCTTAATGTGGGAGTATTTTCATCTTTACAAAGAACCCAAGAAACTGTCTTTCTAAAAAATAATTACATCTGAAAGACTAGTGAGTTGTTTTGAGTGTAGTATTTTCTAGGACCCAAAATTAATTTTTAACCACTCATAAGCCTGATACCTAATACAATATTTATTCAATGCCATTAATTAATGATAGCATTAAACTTGTTAGATGTTAGTTTCTAATGGCTATCCAATAAGCAGGAGAAATGTGACATTTAAAAAGCGAGGGCTGACCTCTTTCCCAAGGAAGTGAACTTAATTTTTTGGGATGCTGCCAGCTTGACAACATGGAAACTAGTTACTTAGAACAAAGCAGCATGTCATCGCCTGGACCAGGTGGGAGCACTGGGTTGGCCGATTTTAACTGTACGACACAGCCATTCAACATTCAGCTCCTATAATGTTCTTCCCTAAAAGAAATGCAAAAGTACCTTATTTTAGGCTAGTGGGACAGAATCAAAATCCATTCAGTTACTCCAAAAGCATGCTTTTGGCAGACTTATTTTCTTTCTTGAATATCTGCAAGTAATCCTGAAGTGCTGCTAATGAAGGAACTGAAACCTGTTAAATTCAGGGCTTCGGGCACTACCCTAATGAACTGTCTGCCGTTTAATCAGTCCGGGGAGCGGAGCGGCCGCTGCAGCTTTCCTCTACCACAGGCTGCCGAGGGAGGACCGGCAGCCAGAGGGCAGCGTGAAGGGCGCGCAGGGAGATTCATCCAGACAGGGCGATCCATCACGCAGCCAGCCTCACAGAGCTGCACCAGAGCTGGCAGCTCTCTCAAGTGTGAAACACGGAGAACTCTTTACAAGTCCACCTTCCTAAACACAAATCAAAATCCCCAAGGATAACACGGTTAGGACAAAAGTATCCCTTTTGCCTTGAAAAATGGCTTTAATGATACGGCCAATTTGTTGAAAATTCCCCGGAATGACAAATTAATACAGTCATAAATTAGGAATTGTCCCCCTCCTCCCCTAAAGTTGAGACATCAATGGGGAAATGAAGTCAAAGGATGACAAGGAATGAAGGGAAGAGATGAATGAGAGCCTCTTCGTATCTATGAACCACCACCATTTTTTTGGTGGAAAAAAACAAAGAAACTGCCTGAGCCCCCACGGTAAGAACTGCATGGAACTCAGAGCCCTTTCACCATAGTTCTTTTCACAGCTAAGTTCTCACGTTCCTCGTTTGTCACTAGGGACATATCTAGGCAGCAGTTTAAGCTGCAACTAAAATACGCAAGTCGAGATGACAGTCCCGAATAAATTCTACTTTATGCAGAATGCCCCACACTTAAAAACTGTTGTGTCAGGCCTGTGAGATCCTCAAATAAGACTCCAAACGTCTGGAAGACTCCAAAGCCACAGGATGTATTAAAAGAAAAAAAATTACTAATACTCAAAAATATTTTAAAGTCTCTGTTTTCTGAAACACCCCCCCCCCAAAAAAAAACACACACAAAAAAAACCCCAGCTCTCTTCCTGAACCCTGCTACCACCCAACACGCATAAAAATGCGTTGTCTCCATTGACAAATATCAGGAGCATGATGATTAAACGAATGCAGCTCTCAAAACAGAAAACATCTCACCTTGGACGCGTCTACCAGCAGGAAAGAAGCATTTCAACACGCCTTCCTGACCTTGCTTTCTCCCGGGGTCTCCCCTTAGTTCTCCCCCAGGTTACGGGCCAGCATCCCGGTTCGCCAGCACTTCCCAGCCCCCTGCCGACAGACCGTCTGAACTCGGCCCTGAGCTACCCCGAGGACCTCCGGGGCCAACCCGAGCATCCGTCAGTCTGCCCAAGCCCCGGGGGAGAATCCAGGCATTGGGGTGGCAAGGGCAGCGCGGCCAGGGCGTCTGGCAGGGAGGAGGCAGGGCGGCAGAGCCACAGCTGCCAGGCAGGGCCTCCCCCGAGTGACTCCCCGCACACCAGCCTGTAATTGTTTAAAAGGGTTAAAGGCTGGAAACGCTGCGAGGAGGGGGATGGGCGTGGGAGCGCGGCAGGCTCGAGATACAACCACCCTCGGGGGATGTGAATCCGAGAGAGGAAAAGGCCGGAGCTTCCCGGGCCTCATCACCGCCCCAACGTCGGCACTTCCTCCTCTGGGCGCCGGCGCTTCAGTCTGGGAAGGGCCGGGAACAGGCCAAGAGAGAAGCTGGGTCGGGTCGGGGCGCTCACCCGCCGGCGAAGAGGTGAAGTAGCGTGTTTTCCTGCTGAGCGCCCGTCGCCATGGCCGCGCCGGTGCCGCTGGCACGAGGCGGCTGGATGGATGCGCGAGGTGGCCCGCTCCGCTCGCGCTGCTGCTCTCAGGCGTCTGCTAGCGCCGACTCCATGCACGCGCGTCCCCACGACCAGCTCCCTCGGTCCGCGCCCTCCCTGCGCGGCGCGGTCTCCGGCCCCTCCGGCCTCTGCGGCTCGAGCCGGGCGTCCAGTGGGACCACACCGCGCGGCCGTCACGTGGAGGGGGTCGGGCCGTTACGTCACGCGGCAGCGCGCTCCGGGGCGGGGAACGGCGGGGGTGTGGGCCCGGATCTGCGCGCCCATTGGTCTTCGAGCGGACATGGGCGGTGCGAGTGCACAGCCTGCGGCGGGGTTCCGTCGAGAGCACAAGGCTGGGCGGGGCCAGCCTGGGCCCAGGCTGCTTGAAAGAGAACCTGCCCCAGCAGCCTCCTCCCTGCTCACGGTCTGATACCCTGGGATTGACTAAGTCTGGAGAGGCCCGGGCCTTTTTACGTTCTTAGTCTATATTTTACTTTCCTTTGTGATACTTACGATGTGTAAAAAGGTATGTAAAGTTACATATGGTGTCTTACCACCCAGTTTAGGGAAAAAACACATCAAAAGAGCCTAAAACTCCCAGTGTATCCCAAATATCATTTTGTATATTTTTTATTTTTCTAGAAATAGCAGTATATGCTGCAATACGCTTTTTCTCTATCTTTTCTGATCATTTCCAGACAAGACTACTGAGCTCTAAGATTCTATATCCAAGCTGCTTCTCTACTTGTACATCCTCGGGACGCTGTCAAACTCAGCCTGACATCTTCTTACCTTCAGGTCTTGATACCAGGCCTTCGTTTGCTACCCTTGCAGCATATCTATCATATGACTCCGTTTAATTTCCTTATAGGGGTTTCTGCAGTTACTTTGTTGATCGATTTGTTTAAGATGTCCTTCTGCCCCTGGAGTGTGAGCTTCAGAAGTGCAGCGATCCTGTTTCATTTGTTCATGGTTGTTCCTGACAAGGTATCTGTGGCTACTAATACCCAAGAAATTAATGCATAAATGTCCCTAACTGAATGCATCAGTTTAATCTTCTCCTCTCCCGAAACCTGTCTGCCTCTTTTATTTCCTGTCCTGGAAATATGATCACACCACCATCTGCACAGCCACCAATGCCAGAACCTTTCCTGTTACCTTGAACTCCTCTTTCTCCCTCTCTCCTTCACTCCATCTTTCTGATTCTCCCCCCTCAACCCCCCTAGCAGTCCATCACTCACCCCTGAAATTTTCCCAAAGCCACCCCCTTTCCTGTGTTCCTTCTACAGCTGCTGTGGTTTCATGTTGAAAGCAGGACCTTGACCAGAGCAAGCTGCTAGATGTCCTGGGTGTAAACACAAAAAGAGCTTAAGTAGAAAGGGAATTATGTGCAAACACAGGCGCTGGCGATTTGATTGCTGGGACTCTTTAAAAACAACTCTCAGGGGCAGTCATCCAAAATACAAATACACTGAGCACTCTATGTTAAAACCATTACTCCCAGGCCTAGAAAGGGGGGCTGCCATACTAGCGTTCCACGTGTCGGGGGAAAGAAAGAAGGCAGGCAGGAAAGAAGGCGGGCAGGAAGAAAAAGTGTTTCTCTTGCTTTGTGGATCTCCCAAATCCCTTGTTTTTGTTGCTTAGGAAGTCAGTGTTAGTCTTCGCTGAAGATTTACGAGGCAGAAGGACAAAGGAGGAGAAAGTAATGCGACCTGTTTAGCCAGGAGGGAGCTGCTCCAATTGGGATGAAATTTTAAACATGAGGAGGTGCTGCGGTCCTTGGAGCACCACCTTCCCTCGTGGCTGCTGTTTCGCACAGGTGTCTGAAGCTGGGTGGCACCCAGGCCTCTAATGCCAGGGCAGCACCCAGCCTCCTGCTTTCTTTCCCCAGGAAGCGTCAGTCTAGGGCTGTGCTAGACACCAAAACAGGCCTCCCCAATATCCTTACTAATAATAATGCTCCCTTCAAGTTAGAGTTTTTCCAAGGTCTCTCATGGATGTTATCTCATTGGAAACTCACAGTGTTTGGCAGCTGTGTTGTTTTGGCTCCCTTTTTGTGGATAGGCAGGATAGATTTGCTCAAGGTCAGCTAGTGGCTGATGCAACAATCTTTCATGCCTCCATGGCTTGGAACATGCTGTTACCTAGGAATCTCCCTTCCATTGCTGGCCCGGCAGAGAGAGCTACCCGATTCATTCATTCATTCAGCACACACTTACTGAGCTTTTACTCTGTTCAAGGCGGTGTTCAGGGCTCGGGGAGGAGAGAGCAGGGATTAGAATGGGTAAAAATCCTTAGTGAAACAGTACCAGTCAAATCCAGCAATAGATCATAAGTACTTCATGATCAAATGGGACATGTCCCAGTAATTTGAGGTGGGTTTAACATTCCAAAATCAATCAATATAATGCAGCATAAGTTGTGTATTGGTTTAATAGGATTCCAAATCCACTTGTTTATGACAAAGAAAAAAAGCTGCTTTGACAGAAGAATGAAGTGAGTCGTGCCAAGACATCACCATGTCTGTTGTCATTGATAAGCAGTCAGCAGCCTAGCTGCTGAGGGGCTCCCCCTGGGGCCTTATTCATAAGAACATGTGGAGAAGCAACTATGGCAAGGGGGCATTTAGGCTATAAATGCTAAGAGTTTGTGAGGACTATGTGAGTTTCAGTTTGGACAGAGGGGACTTTTCTTCTTTTCTTCACTAGCATAAAAGCGCCCCAAGACCCTCAGGGTACGTCCTGTCTTGGGGAAGTACTCCTGGAAGACAGCGGTGGTTAATCTCTTAGCCGCCACCTCCTGCTCCCCCCTCCCGCCCTCCCCCAAACAGATCAGCCCGCCCACCAACGCTGGCATCTTTGTTCCCTAGCAACGTGGCCTAGCAATGGAGGGCTTACACTTTTGAGCTGGCAGCAGGAAATCAGCCCTTTTGTTGGTTGTCATCACTCCCAGTGCCTCCTCACAAAAAACACACCTCTGTTGAAATTTAAATTCTATTCTTTCACCTCTCCTCACCTGGAACAATAATGTGATTAATCTGTCATTTTTGGGGAGTATGTTATTTCTTTATATGGCATCTTAACAGCTATTGTTCTGTGAAATTATTATCATTCTCACAGCAAACCTGGGCTAAAGCAATTGCTGGCAAAGACAAAACTCAGTGTCCAGATCATACTTTAGCATCCTCCCAAAACAAAAACAGAAACAAAGCAGCATATGAACAGAATAAAGGAGAAAAACCAGATGATGGTGTCAACAGATGAAGAAAAAGCATTCGACAAAACTGAATGCTCATCTTTTGAAAAGGTTCTCAGCCGACTGGGAACAAGAAGGAATTCTATTACCTGATAAAAAGTGTCTACAGCAAACCCACAGCTGCCGTTACGCTCAATGGTGAGAGACTGCCTGCCTGCTCCCCTACGACAGGCAACAAGAAAAAACTCCTTCTCCTAGTCATCATGGTGGTAGAGGTACCAGTCAGTGCAATAAGGCACGAGAAAGCAATAAAGGTCAAAAAGGTCAGGAAGGAAGAAGTAAAACTGTCGTCAGTCACAGATGACCTAGTTGTTAACTAAGAAGTCCTAAGGAACCTATGTAACAACTACTAGGACTACTTATATGGTAAACTTATTAGCAACATCGCAGGAGACAAGGTCAATATACAAAAAGAAATAATTTTTTGTGAGCTGCAAACAGTTTGAACATTACATTTTTAAAAATTCTGTTTGCAATAGCATTAAAAAACAAAACAAAACAAAACAAAACAAAACAAAACAAAACACCGATGCAGCAACAACAACAAAGAAGCCAGACACAGGGTACAGGATTCCATCGACAGCGACCTCTGGGGAAGACCGCACTGACCGGCAGTGACAGAGAGCTGCAAGCATCTAGGCTGGAACTGGGCTGGGCAGGGGCTTGACTACAAAAAAGGCTGGAAGAACGTCTTAGGGTGATGGACATGTTCTGCATCCTGATCAGGGTATTTACAAAGATTTGTCAAAACTCATCAAAAGCTACACTTAGAGTGGGTACATTTTATTGTATGTGAATTACATGTATTTCAATAAAGCTGACCAGAAAGGAAAAAAAAAAAAAGCAAGACAGGCTCCATATGTAACTATATGCACCACGGATCAAGTTTCGGAGTCTAAACTTGATAGTTTGTGCACAGAGATACCCTTAGTGAGTGTTGCCGTCACAGACCAGGGGACAAAAACTGCCAGGCCTGGTGGCGCAGGGGAGGGGAGGCTTCCGGGGTTTTTGGTAACCATTCCAGTGTTGAAGGGTCTCTGCTGACCGGTTCCTGCGGCCTTTTTTCTCTGACTGTTGGCTGTCTGATCTCTAATTGCTTCTTGATGGCTGTTTTTCTGCAAAAGCTGCTGGCTGCTGGAAAGGATCCCAACCTCTCCTCCAGGGGCTGGGGTTTCCTATCTCTGCAGGGAATTGTACGGAGCCTCAGGCTGGAGCAGGGACGGTTTCGCCCCGCCAAGAGTGAGAGGACCAGCAAGGCCTTGGCCTGCTTGGGGCTGGAGGGCCGTGGAGCAGGCGGTGGTGTTGCGGAGCAAAGGCGAATGCCCAGCTGCTTTCTCTTCTCCACTTTCTCCTTAACAGAGCCAACTACAGCCAAGTTTCAGCTACAGGTTTCTCTCTCTCTCTTTTTTTTAAATAACCCGTTCTATTGGAGAAAAATAGAAGCCCAAGTATACACAGGGGTAAGAGCACAAAAATTCAACTGATACAGAAAGAGAACTGAAAAGTCACAATGAAGAATGTTGTAGCAATTACTTTTCAATTTCTTGAATAGTTTCCCTCAGGAAAAGCAAAAAATTTTGTTTGGGTTTTTAAAATTGGAACTGCTTTAATGCTTTTCACAGTGGACTATTTCCTTAACTGTTTGGAGCCATTAGGAAGAATACCCAGGTCCCAGCTGGAGACTTGGTTCTTGTGTCTGTTACTGATCGTTTTCCTGAGTTCTCAAAGACCTGTCAACAGCTATTTAAACAAAGTTGCCTATGTCCCTCTACTTGCCTCAACAGCACAGCTGTCTAACAATCTACCATATTTTGACTGCCTACCTAATTTCTTTTTTCTTAAGGTTTTATTTAGAAAAGAATCAAGATGATGGAGGAGTGAGTGGAAGTCACACTGACCTCCTCCCAGGACCAACCTGGAATTACAACTAAATTGGGGAGAAATCACCTGGAACAAACAACTGCACAATAGCAAGAGAGGAGCCTTGTAACCTCAAGAGACAAAAGAATAGGCTTTAGTGCAACCTAACTGGTAGGGAGTGTGGTAGAGACTCGAGAAGGCGGGCAGGGCTCCCACGGGCAGCAGCACCAGGAGGATATTGAAACGGCCAGTTGGATGCTCCTGAGAAGAGCGAGGTCTAAACCAAAAGTGGGGATCTCTAGCCCACAGCACCAGAGCCCAAAAAGTACACAGAAAACCTCCAGCTGCAAAAAGCGGCAGGGTTGATCTCTGCCAGAGACAGGCGACTGGAGACACAAAGAACCGTTTAAAGGGCCAATGCATAAATTTTTATTTGCAGCCACTTATTGGCAGAGGCAGGGGCAGAGTGGGCTGGAGGCACCTGAGGGGAGACTGGGATGGGGAGGCTTTGGGGAGAGAACTGGGAGAGTGGCCAGCGGGATCTCGGTTCTGGCTCATCCCCCAACAGCCGACTTGCTCAGGCAGAGACCACTCCCCTGGAGCAGCAGCAGCATCCAAGGACCCAATAGCCCCGCCCCCAGGTGGGATTCCACCCGCCCTGTTCTCTC